CAGCCAGAGAATTGGCGTGAGAAAACAGAGGAGCAGCAGGAGGAGCGTGAGGACCAGCAGGAACAGCTGCAGAAGTAGCAGGAAAAGAGCATCACGACGAGCAGCGGGAGGAACATGAGGAACAGCGGCAGGAGCAGCGGCAGGAGCAACAGGACAAGCAGCAGGAGTGGCGGCCAGAGGACCAGCAGGAGAAGCAGCAGGAATAGACAGGTGCAGCAGAGGGAGGGAAGAACAGCAGCAGAATCAGCAGGAGGAGCACCCGGAGGAGCAGCAGTAGCAGCACGAGGAGCAGCAGGAGCAGCAGCAGCAGGAGAAGCAGCAGGCAGAACAGCGGGAGGAGCAGCAGAAGGCCAGCAGGGAGAGCACGGGAGGAGGAGGAACACCCGTGGAGGAGCAGGAGGAGCCCCAGAGCAACGGCAGGAGCAGCAAGAGCAGCAGGAGCAGACCCAGCGATCCTGGCCTTCCGAGCGAAGCGGATGCTTGCGACCGCCGCAGCACCAAAATAGGCCAAGTCATCACCACAGCCCGCCCGTGAGCATAGCCCCATGCCGGAGGGAGAGAGGCGGCACCACCCACGCGCACGCTCGATAGCGTTACGGTGGGGGGGGAGCCCCCCGTCGAGAACGTTACAGTCAAAACGTATATTCAGGACGCGTGGTAAGGACGCAAGACCCTTGGAGGCTGAAGTTGGGTTTTTTTGGGCGGCGGCGACCAGTGCTAATGGCAAGGACGAGCCTCAGAGGCAAGGACGCAAGGGTACCCTAGATGAAGGCGCGCGTCCTTACTAGGCGCGTTGACTGTATGGGCCCAACTAATAACAAATGACTCTCTATCTGTATCCTTTCATCTTCTGAGCCCAGGCAGGCCGGACAACGGCCGACAGAGGCCGAAAATGTCCAAAACAATGCCCTTTCCGTGTGCGTCTAAGGACTGGTCCTGGAAATTCGCTTTCTTGAAATCGTACGTCTCGAAAAAATGCAACATCGTCCAAAAACTCGACCGGGTCCCCGGGCCTCATCTGTTTGCATCATTTTTCGAGCCGGATCGATCCGTGGAGGTCCCAGGGCCCGAAGCAAAGCAAAATCGCCTGTAGCGAAACCATTGGGACGCCAAATTCTCAGGGCCTTACCTGGTCAATCCGTCACCGACAATGTACGGTAAAGCTCCGGACGCACCGTCGAGTGAACCAGTGCAGATTTCCTGAGTCGACACGTCTTGGTTTATGCTGTTCCTATCGTACTTAAGGGCCACATCCCAGGAACAAGTTCGAGCACCCAGAGAAATACCAAAACAGTGCCTGCCCGACATCATGGCGAAGTGCCGAACAAGTATCGCCTCCCAGGGCCCGACACGTGAACACCCTCCAGCTTCGGTACTTCCCTGGTGCTCGAAACTGCTTTCGGGTGGTCAAGGCCAAAGTAGGCTGGAATATCACAAGTCTTGGCGGGCGTTCTCTCAGCGCCCGGCAATGGAGGCCAAGGCGAGGGAGCCGTGACTGCGGATGGCCCCGGGTGGCAATGCGCGGCCTTCCGTCGCCACCCGCCGCTGTCGGCCCAACGCTGGCCGCCGCCGCAACCGACGCCGTCGTCGTGTCGGACGGCAATCCGAAGAGCGAGTACAGCAGGAACTCGACCACTCGAAACCTGCCACAAGAAACCCAACCTTGAAACCCTGGGACGTCCGTTGGTTTTTGCTTGGGAAAACCACGCTTTCCGTAGCAAGCAGGGTGTTTCTGCCATAGGTTAGGTCGGGCGTGCCCCCCTACAGGCGGATTTTGGACGATATATTAAAAATTACCAGAAAATACACCAACAATGCCCAAACATACTCCAAACATCGTCTCCAGACTATTTTCTACTATGTTTAAACATTCCATGTTGTTATTTGATTTGTTATGTGTGTAGTTGTTGTTGTGCTGCTGCTGTTGCTGTTGTTGATGATGAGCTCTCACTATTGAAGAACAGTTATTGTTGATCCCCCCCTCTGGTGACCATTGTGTTTTTCAATTGAAGTGCTTCCCCCAGGGCTCCCACAATGTTTTGTGTATCAGGGAAAATCACGGGGCTCAAACTGGGCCCCTGGCACCTGGTTTACAACAACAACGGCTCCCGCCTGATACTTCCTCACCATGTATTTCGAAATCGCGCTCTCGCGCGGAACTTCCTTACAATTCATGTACGTATCGCGCTCTCGCGTGGGACTTCCTCACAATCTATTCAGCCGGTGCACCCTCGGCGCTGAGGAAACACGCTCTCGCTTGGGCTTTTCTCACGATTTACTTGGAAATCGCGCTATCGCTCGAGACTTTATCGCGATTCATGCAGGACCCACGCTTCAGCAACCCGCCTGCTCGACCTCGTCGCCGGGGCCCGCCTTCCCGACCTGCCCGCTATGGGTCTGCCCACCCGATCTGCCCGTCTGGTTCTACAACTTGTTTTCTGCTCCTTGCCCCCCTCCTGCTAATTTCTCTAGTGTTCCATTCTTCCCTCCCCCGTCCACCCGTCCTCTCTTCCCTTGTTTTGGGAACTGCATTACATGCACGTGGCAGGTAAGGAAGAAAGACCCCCAAGGGGTTACGATCGAAGGCGACGAGGGCGGGTATCGAGGGTCTGGGATATACGTATTGATTGGCACGTGAGAAGATAGGAACGAATAGTCTTAAAATGATTGTTTTTTTTGGTGACGATCATTGCATGCCATAACTTCCTGGCCGCGACCGACGAATACAGTGGCTGCCGATTTTGCCTCAAATTCCGGCATCGGTCGCGACCGATTTGCTTCAAAATCGGCTGAGACCAATCGCTCGCGACCAATCAGACGCGACCGACTTTGATATCGGTCGCGATCGAGAGCGACCGATTTGGGGTGCCGATCGGTCGCTACCGACCGCGACCGAAACAACTGAGGTATTCAATGATCTGAGCTGATCGAGATCTGTTTCCTATGATTGATTGCGATGCTGTAATGTTTTCGATCCGTCGGATGTCTGGGTTCGTTTCATAGCTTAGAGGCCTCCTGGATGGGGCCTGAGTGGATGGGGTCGGAGGATCGCGCCACATCGACGACGACGATACATCGGCGCCAGCGGCGTCAGGAAAATCGGGCTCCACTGCGCCACACGCAAGAGTGACCCTAGCCAAGACGAGCCTTTGGTGCGCGGCTTTCGGTGGGCCGCAGGGGGGCCAAATCCAGGTTCGTCAGCCAGTGCTGGGGGACCCCTGCGGGCCCGCACCACAGGGCACTTTGGCGAAGGGTCGTTCTTCTCCTCCTCCTCCTCCTCCTCCTCCTCCTCCTCCTCCTCCTCGTCTCTTCCTCCTCCTCCTCCTCCTCCTCCTCCGACCCCATCCTCTCGGGCCCCACCTGGGAGGCATAGTTGGATGACTGCGCGGGTCTCTAAGGCGACATGGGACTCAGAGGCGGATGCCACGGCGGGTGATTGCTGACTTGACCGAACTTATCCTTGCTTAGCAATGGTTGATAAGTGGGGGTTCGACAACTCTGCCAAGTGGGCGCAGCCCGCTTACCCCAGATCAGAGAACCCCCTGAACCACTCAAGACACCTGCAGCCCACTTTAGAGGTCTCCTAGTTGGGGTCCGAGCAGATGGGGTCGGAGGATCGCGCCGTATCACCGATGCATCGGCGATAACTATTTCGGCGATGCATCGACGATGCATCGGCGACGTCGGCGATACATCGCCGCCGCCGGCGTGGAGAAAGTCGTGCTCCACATCGAGCCGAAGCGGCGACGCATCAGCGATGCGGCACGGTCCTCCGATCCCGTCCACTCTGGCCCCATCTGGGAGGCCTGGATGCTGACAGGCAAGGGTAGGCCACAGGGGGGGGCGCTCTCGCGGCTGGCGGCGCGGGTCGCTCTCCCCCAGCGACGGAGCGCCGAGTGGAGGAGGAGGGGGACCGGTGTAAACCCAAGCCGCATCAACGATGTTAGGATAAACCCTCCCTCCAAGCTCCCTCTTCGCAGGCCCGTGCAACGGATCATTTTTACGGAGGGAACTGCTTCGTTGGCAAACAACCGTTTGAATGATATGAAGCATGCCAGAACATTGTTCTCGGTGTTCCAACGCCACGGATCAATCTGACTGTTGCGTCTTGGCGGTCCTGAATCGTGCCAGAACATCATTACTGGGACTTGGACACGGCAGCTCAACATAACTTGTGCACCCTCATAAGCCTGAATGGTTTCAAGACGCCATATATGGTACGTTGGTCATGGGAATCCGAGAAACTCTGGCAAATGTTTCAAATGAATTTGCGCGGCGTTAAAGCGAAAACCACATGTTGAAAATAAGCTCCCTCAATCCGTGAAGCGGCGCTAAAGCGAGAGCCACATATTGATAAAGACTCGCCCTCAATCCGTGAAACGCTTGCGCATGTTTAAGCGAATTTGCGCGGCGCTGAGGCCAAAACCACATTTTGAAAACGACTCGCCTTCAATCCGTGAGCTCTTGCAAATGTTTACGAAAACGAACGCGCGCGGCGCTAAGGCGACAACCACATTTTGAAAACGACCCGCCCCCCCATCTGTGAAGCTGTCGCCCATGTTGAAGCTTCAAGATCATGAACGGTGAGGCAATCTCAGGCGAAACGCCCAGCCCGCCCTAAAACCTGGCCTCGGTGTGCGACAGGGAGAAGTTATTACTAAGGAGAGGGAATGGACGAGGAGGAGGAGGAGGAGGAGGAGGAGGAGGAGGAAGAGGAGGACGAGGAGGAGGATGAAGAGGACGAGTGTGAGGAGGAGGAGGAGGAGGAGGAGGAAGAGGAGGACGAGGAGGAGGAGGAGGAGGAGGGAAGAGGGAGGAGGGAGGAGGGAGGGGAGAGGGAGGAGGGAGGAGGGAGGGGAGAGGGAGGGGGGAGGAGGAGGGATGAGGGAGGGAGGAGGAGTAGGAGGAGGAGGAGGAGGAGGAGGAGGAGGAGGAGGAGGAGGGATATAACCCGCCTCAGCATCCGCCTCTGAGCCCCCTCTGTCCAAGCCGCTCCGCTCCTCCGGGCCTGCGGCTCGCCCACCGGCGTCGCCGCGCCGCAGGCCTGCAGCCAGCGGACCCCTGGCCGGCGGGGGAGGGCAGGGGGCAGGGGTGGCCAAGGCGGCCAGCCTCTCTATTAGATGCCTCCCAGATGGGGTCGGAGTGGATGGGGTCAGAGGATTGCGCCGCGTCACCAATACATCGGCGATGTATCGGCGATGCATCGGCGACGTCGGCGACGCATCGGCGACGCCGGCATGGAGAAAATCGGGCTCCGCATCGCGCCGCATCGGCGATGCATCGGCGATGCGGCGCGGTCCTCCGGCCCCATCTCCTCCGACCACATCTGGGAGGTCTAATTAGATCTGTTCTTGTCCGGGGGCGGTCGGGGTAAAAAGCCCCCCGAGTATCCTTGACGAGAACGGATGCACCGTATCACTATGTCGGGCGTGTCCTCCTACAGGCGGATTTTGGGATGAAAAAATAAAAAGAGTCAAATAATTCACAACCAAATGTTCAAACATACTCCAAAAATCGTCCCTGAGTCATGTTTGACCATTTTCACATATTCCCCCTGTAGAAGGACAGGCCCGACTTAACTGTAGCATGTCTGACCTCCCTCCAGGCCTCGCTCTAACGCGGCACGGTGCATCGTTCTGTGGCTCCGAAGGCCGAGGAGCTATGCACCGTGCCAGTCCTGGGTCGACGAATCGACAGCGCCTCGGGAGACGCCAGCGTAACCAGCCTCGAGCTTGTCCCTATCCCTGAGATTGACACGCTAAAAGGCAATGACAATCTTAGGGATGCACCCTCAGAAACTGAGGGTGCATCCCTAAGATCGCCATCGTGACAAGGCGATGCCCAACATAGGGATAGGGATAGGTTCCAGGCTGGTAACAGCGCGGTAAGGTGCATACGCATCGTCTGCAAACGAATCGTCCCAGCTGGCCTCAGCAGGGCGGTCCCGACACCCCAGCGTCGCCTCTGGCGGCCCACTGGGGCGCTCCGCACTCCGGGTGGAGGACGAGGCGGCAGGCTTCTTTGCTTCTGGTTCGGGGGCGGCCGAGGGAAAAGGAGGGTCACGGAGGAAACGGGATGGGGACCTTTTCCTCTTCCTCCTCCTCCTCCTCCTCCCTCCTCCTCCTCCCTCCTCCTCCTCCCTCCCTCCTCTCTTCCTCCTCCTCCCTCCTCCTCCTCCTCCTCCTCCTCCTCCTCCTCCTCCTCCTCCTCCTCCTCCTCCTCCTCCTCCTCTCTCCTCCTCGTCCTGACTCGTCACAGCTGGGTGCGTTTACCTCACGGCGTCAAATTTCGGGCTAGTGGCTGTCATGGAAGAGCGTGAGGCCGTCCCGAGCGGCTTCTATGCCATTTCCCGCTAGGCTGGAGCAAGCCTCAGCCACGAAGAGACATGACCTGGCACTGACCTAAATCTCCGACTGTTGGGCACCGCAGCCGGGACTCCACGCTCCTGAACCAAGGCCAAACTAGATCCAGCTTTATCTGCAACGGCGCTTCCAGTGGAGGTGCGTCTCTGTGTGTGTGTGTTGTGTGTTGTGTGTTGTATGTTGTGTGCTGTGTATGTGTGTAGGACCCTTCTGGTTAGCAATAGTCAGCCCTTTCCCGAAGCATCGACGAGCCCAACATGCGTTTGATGTTTTAAACCACCAGGGCCCTGGACCCAACAGTTCTGCTATTTAGCCGAGCCAGATCGATCCTTCAGGCCACTGGGGCCCCAAACAGGTCAATAAACACGTGCGAACAAATGCGACGCGCAGGATCTAAGGGCACCCCCTAGCCACTCCCGCTCGCCTTTAAGCTGGAGTAGTGGGTCTGGCGCAGATGGGTGGGTCCGCGGGGAGAGGAACACTAGTACTTATAGTAGTTGCAATAGTTCGCGCCTGGATGGAATAGCTTGCGCGCTGGATGCAGTCGTTGCGCGTGGATGCAGTTGGCTATCTTTCCCCGCACGCGATAGGTAGTCGTCGCCGCGCAATAGTTCGCGCCACGCAATCCAGTATAGTACACAATCAGTGAACGAGTGCACCCCTCACCGCTGACCCACCTGCACCAACCCTTACTTTGCATCTTTGGGGGACCTTGTGTGTCCCGTCGCGCCGCTATCCGCGTCGAATCTGTGCCGAATCGATGCCAAGCGCGTCGTATCTGAGTCTCGTCCGTGTCGAGTCCACATTGTATCCGAGCGGAGTTCACGCCGAACCCGCGCTGACAGCGCGTCGAGCATTTAGGTAAAGGCCACAATTTACAGGACAGACGAGGTCCCTCGAAGATGCAACCTAAGCTTGATGCGGCCCAGGGGCCTGAGCTAGTTGGACCCCGGGAAGAGCGATCAAGAGGGGGAGGATGGAACCAAATCCACTCAAAATCCGTCCCCGGCCGCCTGTCGGTGTCCCCCGGGTCCGTTTTTGACGACACCAAATCCCTAACACGACCCCTCGAACCTGCCCTCCCTTCCTGCTGGCCAGACCCGCTACTCCAGCGTGCACCGCCTCAGGAAAGCGTTTTTTGTTCATAATATATATATATATATATATATATACATACATATATTTCGCGATAGAGGCCATTACTGGCCCCGTTACCCCCCGTCCCCCTCCCTCCACCATTAATGTCACGATTCGTGCTGACCTCCGCGTTGTCTCTGCGTGGTTATTCCTAGACGTTCCCAAACGGCGCTGGCGCGAAACGAGACTTTACCAGACCCCTCCCTCCCCCCCGGTAACGCCCGTTATCGCCAAGGAACAAATAAGAAGCGACATCCGCATCCTACCCCCACCAACCGTCGATTCCCACGAATCGATGGAAGGCGGGGGTGGGCTTCGGATCTCGCCACCCGATCGGTGAATTCCTGGCGACGCGCGCAAGGGGGTCGGGGAGGGGAGAGGCTTCTTAGAAGGAGGCCCGCGCCTTCTAAGGAGCAAGGTGTTTATGAGAAGCCTTCCCCATCCCCCTACCCCCCCTGCGCGTATCCTGAATTCCGAACCCTACCCCCACCGCCCATCGAGTTGCTTGAACATGTGATCGGCGAGGGTAGCTAGAGGGCCGACGTTGGGATCGAGGATCGAAGAGGAGGAGGCGGAGGAGGAGGAGGTGGAGGAGGCGGAGGAGGAGGAGGAGGATCGAGGTTGATCGAGGAGGTGGAGGAGAAGGAGGAGGAGAAGGAGGAGGCGGAGGGGGAGGAGGATGAGGAGGAGGAGGAAGAGAGGGAAGGGAGGAAGAAGAGGAGAAGGGAAGGAGGAGGAGGAGGAGGAGGAGGAGGAGGAGGAAGAGGAGCAGGAAGATGAGTTGTCTTCTTTTCTGGGTCCGTCGCCGCTCCCCCCCCTTTCCCTGGGCCCTCGTCCTCAAGCGCGCCAGCCAAAGCGAAATGAAGCAACCCAGCCAAAGCAAAATTAACAACGTTGTCTGAGTCGAAGGGAAGCCCCTTCCCTTTGATCCTTTCCCCGCCGGGGGGGAGGGCGGGGGTCCCGGGGGGGGTCCTGGGGGGGGGTCCCCGGACAAAATACCATCCCTCGTTTGCGGCTTTCACAGAGGGGCCCTTTGTAGATGTGCTGGAGAAGGGGGGGGTCGCCACGACGGATCTTCAAGAGCGCCCTTAGACGGCCCGAGCCCCACAAGACATCCCAAGACCGCGGAAGGACGGCCAAAGGAGGCCCTCAGACGGGTCAGACGAGCCCCACAAGGACTCTCAAGAAGGCCCTGAGAGGCCATATTCATTGATTTTCGGGAAGGCTTTGTCCCCGCCCTCTCCCTCCCATTTCCGTCGAGAGCCGAGGCCTCTAGAATTGGTTGCTCCTACTCGCTTCCTCTCGCTGCTCCTCCTCCTCTTCCTCCTCCTCCTCCTCCCTCCTCCTCCTCCTCCTCTCCTCCTCCTCCTCCTCCTCCTCCGCATTCCTCTCGCTGCTCCCCACTCCTCTCCTCCTCCTCTCCTCCTCCTCCTGCTCCTCCTCCTCCTCCCTCCTCTCCTCATCCTTCCCCCCCCCCTCCTCCTCCCTCATCCGCCTCCTCCACCCTTCCTCTTCCTCCCCCATTCCTCCTCCTCCTCCTCCTCCTCCTCCTCCTCCTCCGCCTCCTACCCCCTCCCAGCTCGTTACCATCTTCGTCGTCTTCAAGGTCGGCGGCACCGGCCGTAAGGCCTTCGCAATCTGAGGTACGGCTGCCCTCGAGCATCCTTTGAAAAAGGGTGACGGTTGATGGAAGCAAACGGTCGTGCACACGAGCCTTCACCAAAAGAGTCTACCTCCTGCAAGGCTGCTTTATAGAAAACACTCCCAACCGTCGCACCGACAGCCAGTTCTGCTCAACAGCTGAGCACATCTGATTGATGTCCTGCCCTCATGCTGCTTGCAGGGGGGCCTTCTGCACTTGGCAACCCACTGAGCGCCCTTTGAAGCGTTTTGCCTCCTTGATTGAATAAAGGCTCGCCGGCTCAGCCTCTGCCGCTGCCATGGGGTTGGCCAAGTCGAACCTCCTCTCGCCTTCTCCGCCTGGTGTGACGAATGCGAGCTTCTCCTCATCCGTCTTGGGAAGGGGAAACCCTCGGCACTATCCACCACCACACCTTGGCATCCCCCGATATCCCCTTGAGAAGCAGATGTACAGCAGCATCGGGCCCAACAGGAGCGTCTCGCCACGACTGACAGGAATCCACGTAAAAATCCAAACAGCGACTAGCCACAAAAAATCGTAGGAATTGTTATGGTACGTTAGTCCCTTTTGGTGGACTATCGTCGCCGAGATGTGATCGCACCACTTGGAGTCCCTCAGGATTTGTGCATCCATGTTCCCATCCCCAGCAACCAACACAGGCAAGGCGACTGACGAAATCAACTCACTGTCTCGACAAGCAGTTAAAATTCTCCCCCGTCAGTCCGATCTGCGTCTAGCCGTATCTGGAGACGGCGAGCACCTGGACCGGGTCCGAGAGAACGACACGCCGCGCACATGGAGATGGAGGATGAGGATGAGGAGGAGGAGGAGGAGGAGGAGGAAGGGGAAGAGGAGGAGAAGAAAGAGGATGAGCAGGAGGAGGAAGATGGGGAGGAGGAGGAGGAGGAGGAGGAGGAGGAGGAGGAGGAGGAGGAGGAAGAGGAGGAGGAGGAGGACAAGGAGGAGGAGGAGGAGGATCTCTCCGCCGAGAACAAGCCCTCTCCAGGAAGCCGACGCAGTGTGCCCACCGCCGCCCGCCGCGAGGAGGCCCCCGCGCGCCGAACACGCCGGCGATCGGCGCGCGCGGCCTCTGGTCGGCGTGCTGGCGTCCGAGGAGGGCGAGGCCGCCAGCGCCGGACCAGCCACGGGGGCGGGACCTCGGGACGGCCGGCCGGCGTCGGCTTGGACGCCCGAAGCCCCAAACGCCCTCGAGTCAGGAGCAGAAGGCACGACGGAAGCGTTTCGCTGTTTTCGGCCGTGGGGGCCCCTGCAGGGACCGTCCGACAACGATGCAGGACGAAAAAGCGCCCCTAGGGAAGTGGTCCAGACCTCAGGGGCCCGCGCATCGAAAGAATTGGAGCGGCCGGATGTGTGGGTACCGCGTATAGGTTGCAAGCGCAAGTCTGGCGCGATGCGTTCGCCAAGACGTGCCGAGCCAACACACACACACCGTGACCAACACGGGCGGTTTCCGCAAGCACGTGCTCCGTTTCAACACGGGCGTCTCAGGGCAACTATGATGAAGGGGCACTGGGACACACAAATAAATACACACAAATAAAAGGATTCCCCATATTTTCATGTATTTTCTGTGGTTTTGTCTTCCCCCCCACTTCCCATATTTTCTTATATTTTCTGGGGGATCGCCGATTAATTGTGTCTGTGTGTTTCTTTCCCTCCTGATATGATACGGAACAAATGGGAACGATGCCAAACAACAAATGTTGTCCAAAACCGACCGCGGCCGCTGTCGGACAGGCGGTCTTCAATAGACAGCATCCGTGGCAACACCGACAGCGAATTCAGTTCAAAATGGGCAGGCACTGCTGTCGGTCTTCGTACCAATTCTTTCCTACAAATGTCGATTGCATCGAACCAAGACTCAGATCATCCACGACCAGATTTGTTCGGTAGCGGATTCGAGTTGCGCCAAATTTCGGTCGCGGCCAAGGCCCAGGCGGCGGTGACGAAGAGACGGCGAGTCGGGCAAGACGAAATCGGCGGCTCGCTCGTTACCAATATTCGCGGCAAAAGGCCGAATTTAGGTCGCGGCCAATTCGTCCAGAGCGTTACGGAAAATTGCCGGTCGAATGATCTGGTGCTGAATTTTGGGGCCTTCCTGAAGCCACTCGCTCCACTCATACGTCGATGTTGCGTCGAACGTCCGTCGACTTGGGTCGAACTTCAATCGAGTATGAGTCGAGCTAGAGTCGAACCAACCGGCGTAGGTTCGAACCACTGCCGAACAGATAGAACCGTCAGGTCGGCCCCAGGAAGGTCCCCAGAGCGACCGTCTACCAAGGGGGGCGAGCTCTGGGCAGGTCTGGCGCATGGGATTCTGGCTCCGCCCCAGCGTGCTCTTTCCTCTCCCGGACCGGCGACTCCCGGGGCCCCGTGGGCGATCACCAAGGAGGCGTCCGACTCACCGTGTTTTGCAACGTCGGCTCTCGGGGCCCGGCAGACGCGTCTAGGAATGAGGGCCTGCTCCGGGCTCTTAAGACTTGAAAGCAAGACCGGTGCCTGCCGCAAACGCACTCTCCCCCCCCCTCGGAGCAGGCAGGCACCTGGCGCTGCCGCGGGGGGGGAAGGCGAAAATGCCACCTCAGCTGCTTGTCCCGAGCGTGCGGCTTGAAACGGATTCGCGCGTACGGAAACGCCTCGCCCTGAGAAACGCGCCTATCACCGCCATGCACGCCACTGGAAACTGCGGCGCCGATTTTCGCTCCTGCTTGGGCGGGACTTGCGCCTCCCGCGCTGCCGGCACACCCTGGGGGCTGCCAGAACTGTCCGAAGGCCGCCTGCGCTCCGAACTTGCCCGAGAGGCAGATCTGCCCCACACCGAAGCGTATCCTTGAGGGCGAGGGCCTCGAAGCCATCGCCGGCGGGAGACACATCCATGCCCACGATCACCGCTGGTGGGAAACACGTCCATATCCACGACCTCGCGGCCCAGACTCCTCGACCGCGGCCGGATGGTATCCATGGGGCCTCGTACCCATGGGATCGCGCATCCATGGGATGGGATCGAGCCTCGTGAGGTGAGGTGAGACGATCCACCTCGCCACTCCTGGGACCCCCCGCGGAAGCCTGTGCGGGCCCGGGCCTTGGGGACAGAGGGTGGCGCGGCTGGTGCGCCCGTTCCAGTCCCAGGCAGCTGAGATTCACTGACAGCTGTGAACTCGCAAGTTCGCAGGAACTGTAGACTGTAAACTGTAGATGGGCTATCAGATTGTTAAACTATCAGCTCGCAGTCAACAAGCAAACGATCAGGGGGGGACAGGCAAATGGACCGAGGAGGTCACCAAGTAGCCAGGCAAGCAAGGAAGCGGCCAGCCAAGAAAGATACGAATCAGCCAATCAACAAACCACACAATCAGCGCCCCAACAATCAAGCCATCACAATGACTAATTGATGAAACGATGTCTGAGTGGCACGAGTGGGAGACGGCGCAAGGACGCAAGCTATCGAAGTGGCCTTCCAGTCCCACCTGGCCAGGGATGAGTAGAGGCCTCACACATGGGGTCCGAGTTGATGGGGTCGGGGAAAGCCGCCGCATCGCCGATCCATCACCGATGCATCGGAGACGTCGGCGATGCATCGGCGCCGTCGGTGTGACGAAAATCGAGGTACACATGGAGCCGCATCTGCGATGTATCGGCGATGCGGCGCAATCCTTCGACCCTGTCCACACGGTCCCCATTTTGGGACCCGTGAGCGAAGCAAAGAGGCAGCTTGGGCACGACGGTGTGGACTTCGAGAGGACGATGCTCGCAACACGGGCCAGCTATGATTGGCGGCGAGCGCGGGGGGGAAGTGAGAAAGGGCGGGCCTTCTCAGAAGGCTCGGAAGTCCCCCGGCCTTCTGAGAAGTTTTCTGAGGCTTCCCCGGAGACCAAAAAAACTTCTGAGAAGGCGCGAGGGCTTCTAAGAAGTCCCACCGCCTTCTGAGAAGCCCTTCTCCTTCTTACTTCCCCCCCTCGCTCGCCGCCGATATGACTCTACGGAGCTGTCGCACGGGAGACACCGAGCCCTGCACCCTCACCCAGTGAGAAACCGATTCGCAGCCTGCCGGTCTGCTCGTCCCGCTTGAAGAGGGGAATGCGCAGGTCCTGCCGTGGTGCTGCAGCACTCTGAATTGGGATCGACCCACCCCCCGACCCCACTGGATCCGCGGGGGCGGTGGGAGGAGGAGGAGGAGGAGGAGGAGGAGGAGGAGGAGGAGGAGGAGGGGGAGGAGGAGGAGAAGGAGGAGGAGGAGGGGTCAGGAGGAGGAGGAGGAGGGGGAGGAGGAGGAGGAAAAGGAGGAGGAGGAGGAGGAGGAGGAGGAGGAGGAGGGGTCAGGAGGAGGGTGGGCAGGGGAAGGGAGGGAGGGGGGGGGAGGGAGAGGGCGATGGACAGGCTCCTTCGGAAGGTCATTCACCCCCCTCACTAGATAATTCCCCCATCCAGAGTAGTGGCGAAGGCTACAAAGTATTGGACTGAAGCTGCATCAACGCACAGGCGGGGGATGGACAGAGTCAACTCCGCAGGACTTCCGACCGATTACTCTCAACGTAGTTCTGGAAGACAAGAGACGTGCACACATACGCCAGGGTGCAGAACGCACCCGCGAAATCTGCCACCGTGCCTGAAGGCGCAAAGCGCAGTGTCCTCATGCCACGTCATGTCCTCTGTACAGAACAGCGTACATGTTCCTGACGGGGCTCACAGCCCCAGGTTCTGGGCGCTGTGGGGGGCAATCGCTTCTGGTCGCGTGACTTCGCCAACAAAAGCCACGAGGGGCCCCCGTGGGGCAAAAGGGCACCAAGAGCTCCAACGACGGTCCAGTGAGGCCACGCGTCGCCCCTGTCTTACTCCAAGACGCCCAATGTTGCTTCCAGACGGCCGAGGAGGCCCCCAAGCCGCGCCAAGGGGGCTCCAAGGGACCGCCCAAGAGGGCCAGAGGAGGCCAGCATCATTGATTTGCCCTGTGTGGTTGCATGACTTTAGTGTTCTCGCGTTTTCGGGCGTTCGACGCCCCAGTACGGGCCCAAGAGACCCTCAAGAGGGCCCCCACACGGCCCACGAAAGCCCTGAGATGGGCTAAGAAAGCACCAGAGGTGGAACACGAACCGACATGTCGCTCCGCTCCAAGATGACCTCCGAGACCGCCAGCAGTCCCTCACGAGGCCCCGCAGACGGCAGGAGGGTCCCCAGGAGGCCCCCAAGACGCCCCACGACACCCGAACACCGCATCAAAGAGACTTCCGAGAGGCCTTCCGACAAATCCGAATGGGCATCCTAGAGACCTCCTGACCTGCAAGCCAGGCGCGGTGGCGGGATGGGCCGACGGCCACTAGGTCCGCCGCCCCCTGTCGATTCATCGCAGGGGTGCCTGGCGTGCTAAACTATTTCGATGTTCGTTTTGTTTCTTTTCCCAACCATCCTGTGGTGTTGGGTCCTCGTTTTGAAGAGACGGTCCCCGCGTCCCGTTGCTCTTCTCCTCCTCCTCCCACTTCTCCCCTCCCTCCTCCTTCTTCCATGCGCTTCACCCACCCAGCACAACGCTTCGTGGCCCCATAGGGGGCTCCACCGAAGGTCCCAGTGGCACCGCCCGCATGCGTCCGCCACCACCCAGCACAGCCCTTGCTCCCTGCGCTTCACCCACCCAGTACAGCGTTTCATGGCCCCATTGGGAGCTCCACCGAAGGTCCCAGTGGCACCGCCCGCATGCGTCCGCCACCACCCAGCACAGCCCTTGCTCCCTGCGTTGCACCCACCCACGAGAGGCCCCTAAGACGGCCCAAGGGGCCCCTAAGAGGTCCTCCAGGAAGGCCCGAAAATTGGCGGCGCGCAGAGGGGGGTAGGGGGAGGGGGGAAGGCTTCTGAGAAGGGGGCTGCTTCTTAGAAGGCGCCGGCCTTACATGTGTAGAGAAGGCCCGCGCCTTCTAAGAAGCTGGGGTGCTTCTAAGAAGCCTTCCCTCCTTCCCTTACCCCCCTCTGCGCGTGGCCGAGAAAAAACCAAACTCATTGATTTCCCTCAGGTTTCCGAAAGGTGTTGGCATTTGCTTTAGGCCGGCCTCCCGTCGGCCCAAGACGACCCGAGAGGCTCCCAAAATTGCCCCGAGGTCGTCCCCAAGGCCTCCAAGATGGCCCACGGACGGCCCAAGAGGGCCGTGTCTAAAGCATCCAGAGGCTAAGCTCGCCATCGCTCGGACGTCCATTCCCTGCGTTTTGTTTCGGTTTCGTGCGTGTTTTTTCGCCAAATGGTCAAGGATGCTCCTCGATGGTCCTCAAAGAAGGAAAAATGCACACGTCCGGGCGATGCCAAGTAAGGTGACACCAAGTCTGCCCAAAATGAACACAAGACGGGCCAAGAGGCTTCCCAGAGGCCTCCCATAGGCCTCCTAGAGGCTTCCCAGAGGCTTCCCATAGGCCAAGCTGGCCCAAGAGGCTTCCCAGAGGCCTCCCATAGGCCCCAGAAGGTCTCCAAGAGGTTCTCTCCAGGAAGGCCCGAAAAGGCCGCCACCATGAATTGTCCAATAGGTTGTTGAAGGAGTTTGACATTTGCTTCAAAACTGTCTTCCGACGGCCCAAGACGCCCAAGAGGCCTCCAAGATTGACCCAAGATCGCCCAAGAGGCCTTCAAGATGACCTCAGGACGGCCCAAGAGGCCCCCAAGATGGCCCCCAAAAGGCCCCAAGACGGCCCAAGAGGCCTCGCCCTGGTTTTCAAGACGACCATGACGCGCCCCAAGAAGGACCCAACACGGCACAGAGAGGCTCCCAACACAACTTCCGACGGCGTCAGACGGGCCAGGAACGCCGTAAGACGGCCAAAGGGGCCCCCAGGAAGCCCTCGAAGGCCCCCAAGAGGCCCAAGGAGTCACCCAAGAGACCTCCGAGAGGCCCCTGAGAAGCTCCCAGGAGGCCCCGAGAATGACCCAAGACGCTCCCAAGAGGTCTCCTCCTCCTCCTGCTCCTTATCTTCCTGTTCCTCCTCTTCTCATCCTCCTCTTCCCCCCCCACGTGCTCCCCGAACGGCTTCCACAACGTCTGGGGAACGCATTGTCCGAAAGTTTGGCCAAACTTTGCCCAAATGTTTGGCCATGCAGGCGTATCCTAAAGGGCACGGGGCAGCGATGATTCGCCGTAGGCGTCTTTGATCCGCAACCCCTGTTGATTTATCAAAGGGGTGCTTGGTGTGATGAGTTTTGTTGCTGTGTTTGATTATGTTCTACAGAACTCCTCCTGGGACTTCGGTCGATCCCGCTGGCCACCCGGAAAGGCCCACAAAGACCACAACAAAACACCCCAAGACTCTCCAGATGACCTCAAGATGGCCTCCACGACGGCCAAGATGGCCCAAGATGGTGCCAAGACGCCTCCAAGACGGCTAAGTTGACACTAAGTCTGCCCAAACTGACTCCAAGACGGCCCAAGCTGGCCCAAGAGGCTTCCTAGAGGCCTCCCATAGGCCCCATGACCCCATGGGGTCTCCAAGAGGTCCTCCAGGAAGGCCCGAAAAGGCCGCCACCATGAATTGTCCAATAGGTTGTTGAAGGAGTTTGACATTTGCTTCAAAACTGTCTTCCGACGGCCCAAGACGCCCAAGAGGCCTCCAAGATTGACCCAAGAGGCCTTCAAGATGACCTCAGGACGGCCCAAGAGGCCCCCAAGATGGCCCCCAAAAGGCCCCAAGACGGCCCAAGAGGCCTCGCCCTGGTTTTCAAGACGACCATGACGCGCCCCAAGAAGGACCCAACACGGCACAGAGAGGCTCCCAACACAACTTCCGACGGCGTCAGACGGGCCAGGAACGCCGTAAGACGGCCAAAGGGGCCCCCAGGAAGCCCTCGAAGGCCCCCAAGAGGCCCAAGGAGTCACCCAAGAGACCTCCGAGAGGCCCCTGAGAAGCTCCCAGGAGGCCCCGAGAATGACCCAAGACGCTCCCAAGAGGTCTCCTCCTCCTCCTGCTCCTTATCTTCCTTTTCCTCCTCTTCTCATCCTCCTCTTCCCCCCCCACGTGCTCCCCGAACGGCTTCCACAACGTCTGGGGAACGCATTGTCCGAAAGTTTGGCCAAACTTTGCCCAAATGTTTGGCCATGCAGGCGTATCCTAAAGGGCACGGGGCAGCGATGATTCGCAGTAGGCGTCTTTGATCCGCAACCCCTGTTGATTTATCAAAGGGGTGCTTGGTGTGATGAGTTTTGTTGCTGTGTTTGATTATGTTCTACAGAACTCCTCCTGGGACGTCGGTCGATCCCACTGGCCACCCGGAAAGGCCCACAAAAACCACAACAAAACACCCCAAGACTCTCCAGATGACCTCAAGATGGCCTCCACGACGGCCAAGATGGCCCAAGATGGTGCCAAGACGCCTCCAAGACGGCTAAGTTGACACTAAGTCTGCCCAAACTGACTCCAAGACGGCCCAAGCTGGCCCAAGAGGCTTCCTAGAGGCCTCCCATAGGCCCCATGACCCCATGGGGTCTCCAAGAGGTCCTCCAGGAAGGCCCGAAAAGGCCGCCACCATGAATTGTCCAATAGGTTGTTGAAGGAGTTTGGCACTTGCTTCAAAACTGTCTTCCGACGGCCCAAGACGCCCAAGAGGCCTCCAAGATTGACCCAAGATCGCCCAAGAGGCCTTCAAGATGACCTCAGGACGGCCCAAGAGGCCCCCAAAATGGCCCCCAAAAGGCCCCAAGACGGCCCAAGAAGCCTCCAAGACGCCCGAGATGGTTTTCAAGACGACCATGACGCGCCCCAAAAAAGACCCAACACGGCCCAGAGAGGCTCCCAACAAAACTTCCGACGGCGTCAGACGGGCCAGGAACGCCGTAAGACGGCCAAAGGGGCCCCCAGGGAGCCCTCGAAGGCCCTCAAGAGTCCCAAGAAGACACCCAAGAAGCCTCCGAGAGGCCCCTGAGAAGCTCCCAGGAGGCCCCGAGAATGACCCAAGAAGCTCCCAAGAGGTCTCTTCCTCCTCCTCCTCATCCTCATTTTCATCTCTCTCTCTCTCTCTCTCTCTCCTCATCCTCCTCTTCCTCCCCCACGTGTTCCCCGAAAGGCTTCCCAAAAAGCTCCCAAGAGGTCTTCTCCTCCTCCTCCTTCTCCTCTCACTCTTCCTCCTCCACCACCTCGTCCTCCTTGTTCCTCCCTCTCCTCATGCCCCTCTTCCTTCCCCACGTGTTCCCCGAAGGGCTGACACAACGGCTGGGGGAACGCATGGTCCAATAGCGTGGCCAAACTTCGCCCAAACGTTTGGCCACGTGGGCGTATCCTGAAAGGCAGGGGGCGGCGGTGAGTCGCCCCAGGCGTCTTTGATACGAGTCAAGCGCGCTTTGCACCAGACGCTGCGCCTTGCGCCCCCATGCGCGACGACATCAGCAGTGTGTCCAGACGATGCGGCCCACTGGGCGTCGACCAAGTGCCCCGCCCTCTGGTGGCGAAACTGGATGAAGGAAAGCCGACCCCCTGGCTTCCCACGGGCTCGGGTGCGCCAAAGAGGGGGGCCAGGAACTGTGGGGGTGGCAGGGAACCATGGCCTGAGGCATGTGCGCGGACGAGGGCGGGGTCCAGGGAGCGCGCGGAGATGATCCCAGGGGGGCCGTGAAGTGGGGAGAAATCGTGGCCCTGGCCATGATATCCACACGCCCCTAGTTCTCGGGGACCCCCCCAGCCGAGCGCATGTGCAAATCTTGAGGCGTCGACCCCCCGAATTCCCAACAACCCTTCACTGGCCCCGGTCGTCAACATTGTGGACGGCCCCCCAGGCACGACAAGGGCCAGGCGGAGGCCGAGAGTGGCCCGCGACCTTCCGTCGCGCGTTTGCTCCCAGCGCGAAGGACGATGGGGAATCAGGCCCCGTAAACCCAGGACATCCAACATCCCTCGAATTCAAGTTTATTCAGGCGGCGACACGAGCAAACACTGCACTGCAACATTCCCAGAAGAAACTGGAACAGAGGCCCCAAAAGCCTGCAAAACCGCCGCTAACCCTAGACCTGGACAACGACCCGACCCCTGCACTAGACGAACGGATCGGACCTTGCAGGAAAGGGCATTGTTTCCCCGACTTGCCAATGTCCTAGTCTGTGTCCTGATCTCCGAGGGCCTGACTGCACCTGCCCCCCCCCTGCTCCAGCTGAGGTCCTGCGGCCCGGACGCGGCGCGGTTGCACAGCGTGGCCAGGTCGAACTCGGCCTCGCCGCACAGCACCTCCCGGGAGGGGGCACGCAATCGGGAAGCACGGCGCCGCTCTGGCACACCGTGCTCCCGCGCGCCCCGCAGCCGTCATCCCCGGCGACGGGCGGCACGACGCAGCGCGCAGTGTCGATCGAGCAGGCACGGCCAGCCCTACGTTGCTCCCGTCGCACTTAATGACCACATCCCAGGACTAATTTCGAGCACCCAGAAAGTATCGAAACAGTGCCGAACGAGTATCGCCTCCTAGGGCCCGACACGTGAAACCCTCAAGTTAGGGTACCTTCTTGGTAAATTCTTCCTGGCGATCAAGGCTAAAGTGGCTTGGAACATGCTAGAACTAGCGTCGATCTCCATATCGAGCCACATCGCCGATGCATCGGCGATGCGGCGCGATCCTCCCACCCCAGCCACTCCGACCCCATCTGGGAGGCTTAGAACTGGGTCGGGCATGTCCTCCTACAGGCGGATCTTGGGCGACAGTGAAGACACAGTCCAAAAAACACCCCCCCCAGTAGTCGAACACTGCAGAAAAAAAAAACGTCCCCTAGACGAACGATTGTTTTGCCATCTGGGAACGCTCCTCCTGCACCGTCGGTGCCGTCCGAAAGGTCGCCGCCTCGGACATCGTGTCGTACTCCTCGCCTTGGGCGCCATCACTTGGTCAGGCGGGTGGCACGGGAGGTGCAGAGGGACACGCCCGGCCGAAGCCCAGCAGCAGAGAACGGCCACCGTGCTGCCGCGAGAGGCGCGGACCCCGGGGGCGCGCGGGGCCTCCTGCTGGCCACGCACGGGCCTCGGCCACGCACGGGGGGGTCCTCCGACCTGCACCCTGGGAGCGACTCCCGACGGCGAGAGCCCCTCCCGAGCCCCCAAAGGGGTGTCCTCGCGGCCCGACCTCCCAGAGGCGCCCAAGAGGCCTCCCAGGGGCTCCCAGGAGATCCCCACGAGGCCCCCAGAGGCTCCCCGAGGCACCCAAGACGCTCCAGGTGGGCATCGTCTCTGGATGGGCTGGTGGGGTTACCTTTTGTAGCCAGCGGCCGCGGGCGAGCGCGCCGGCGGCGTGTCAGATCAAAGCGGGCTACACAGAGACTAATTAGGCAAAGGAAACGTGGGAAAACAAACAGAGCGACGGGCGAGGCGACAACTAAGCGCGGCCGAGGCCTCAGAGTCCGACCTGGGACCGAAGAACATCCTTCAAGAACACGGGACCCTCCGCCGGCCGAAACACACAGAACATCCAGGGGTACCCTCCCCAGGATGCACAAGAGCATCCGACAAGCACGAAGAGCATCAAGGTACCCTCGCCGAACCGACCTCGACCTTCTACCTCAGTCCGGCCGTATTTCAGCGTCTTGACTGTAGTTTGGATCCGCCTGGCTCCGCACTCCCCTGAAACCTGCCGCGGGCACAGGCAAGGGTGGGCGGGGCGAGGTCTAGTTGAGATCTGCGTGGCTCCGCGTTCTTCTGACCTCCAAGGTGGTCTGACCTCCAAGGTGGTCAGGCAAGCGGCGACGATTGTGCGCCCGACAGTGCCCAGGGAGGCGAGGTCCACTTTCGATCACCGTGCCACCACACTTCGCGGGTCTCTCCAGGAATGCTCCTAGCAGTGCCCCTGGCAATGCCCTGGGAATGCGAGGTCTGATTTAGCCCAGGGTGGTGATGGTGGTGGTGGTGGTGGTGGTGGCCCGCTGTCAGTCGCGCCGCGCGGGCGCTTCGAGGGGTGGCGCCGGAGCGCCGGGAAAATGGATGGCAAGAGAAGTATGTACTCAGAAGGGGACTCACAATTCGTTGATCTGGCATCGGGCAAAATGTTGCCACACATTGGTTTGGTCCAGGGGCAACAGAAAACTGGCTGCAGCTGTGCGCCTGGGCCTGGCGGCGGGGCGGGGGCGAGGTCTGGGGGGGAGCTGCGTGGCTCCGCACTCCGCTGACCTCCCACGGGCAAAGGAGCACGGCGACGGTTGCGCCCCGGGCAGCACCCAAGGAGGGGCGAGGTCTGGTCTGGACCTCCCAGAGGTACAGGAGACAAGTGACAGCCGTGCGCCCGGCAGTGCTCAGGGAGGACGATGTTCTGGTCGGGTCTACAAGCAGCGCTGGGTGCCTGCAGAGACCAGGGTTGGCGGCGGCAGCACCAGCAACGACTCACTGTAGTGCGCAAAAGGCCGTTCGGGCCTTGCGAGGCCGAGAGGAGGTGCTCACCCAGGTAGACAGGATGGCCGCGGGGGAGGGTGCACATTCAACGACAAGTGCGACTGCGCAATCGAATAGGATCCACACTCCACGCCGACGCCGCTCCTGAGCGTGTCCATCCATGCCGAGCTCACAGTACAGCACGGCGACTTGTATCTGACAGCGCGCTTAGATCATATGTGGCGTGATATGTCTTCTTCACGGCGCGAAGGACTTCAGTGGACCTTCTGTCCTCTCAACCAGAAAACGGTTTGGCTGTCTGTGGCTGCGTCGGCAGCGCCTGCCCGTGAACGCCGTGCCCGGAATCGACAGGGCGAGGGCCGTTGAGGCGCGAGGCGCACCACGGCTCTGCCTCAGCGGCTCCTGCGGCTGGATCTGGCGTTTCCTTCTGGCTGTTTCGTCGCTTCTCTGAGGTTTCCAGTCTTGGGGTCCTTCTGCGTCGCCGAAAGCGTTCTGGGGGTGCCCGAAGCGTCCCGAACGGCCGCCTGACCCGAGATATGATTCGAAAGCCAGACGACGTACCACTTGGCTCAGAATGGCATGCACTCCTCTCCCTGCTCCCTGCTCCCTGCTCCCTGCTCCTTCTCTCATTTATCTCTTGTTCTTTCTTCCTGACGCCTCTCGCCACACCGTGACAGGCCCATATGCAGACGTTAAAAAGACGCTGAACTCTGCCGCGCTTGCAGTGACAGTATGAACTGCGACCTCTAGGACCAGAGCTTTGGCTGTGAAGAATGAGGCATGCGGATGGATGTACATGCCAGTCATAGCGATTGGGTAAACGTGCTGACGGCCTGCTCATCCCTCCTCCGTCTTCTCCCGCTGTTGCTGCTGCTGGTCCTCCTCTGCTGTCTGCCGGTCCCACATCCTCTCTTCGACGGCGCCTGTGTAGCTTTGTTGCTCCACACTGCTCTGCACTGGGTCGTCCTACTGCCCACATCCTCTCGCTGTTGCTTACTGCAGGCGTCGTTGGGCGCCAGGGCCTCCTTACGGACCGTGTGGCCGATCTGGACGGTGAACTTCAACGTTCTGCCACCACATGAGCCGTCGAAGTCCCAGTTGAAGCGCTCGTTCCACTGCGGTCGAAGGTTACCTTGGCGAATCGCTTCCCATTCGGTGCGCGTCTGGAAAGAAGCGTCACTGCCCTTATATGCTCCATGGCAGACAGGCCTTCTCTGATGGCGCGAGTGTGCTGCAGTCGCTGCTGAGACCTGCTGGAACACCTGCTCACAGAGTTCACTCTGCCACGCGACGGCAGGATGGGCTCGGACCTATGTCCACTCCAGGCAATACCGAGGCGGGGCACCAGCCAACTCCTCGAGCAGCAGGAGCCCCCATATCGCCAACAAACGCGCTCGATCCTCGGTCCTCAGGAGGAGCTGGCGCACATCGTAGCGGTGACGCCCGTTGGCGCTGCCTGATATCGGAGGACAGACAGCTGAAACATTGGCCCATGTCTCGAATGGGCCTCCTCCCGGAGCCTGGCGAGAGCTCCCCAAGGCAGAACGCCTGAGTATCGTTTATCCACTCCCTCCATTGGCGTGGCCTGAGCCCCGCTGGCCGACTTGCCCCCCTAGATGGGGACATGGGCCATCTCCTTCGGGCTGCGAGGGGTATATCCCCAACTGGGGTGCTGAGATGGTGGTGGGGCCTGGATAGGGACGGAGGTGGGGATAACCCCGAAGAGTCTTTAATAAACCCCCAGGCAACAATGGGAAACTAGGCTTTTTTGTCCGCGGGCTTCTTGACGGGTTGGCACCCCCACAACAACTTGAACAACAATTTTCCCCCGCGGCGGCCACTGGCGGCCACCGCGCAAACCCTTCGTCGTCCACTTGCTTCTGCTGTGGACGACGAAGATAGGCTTCGAAGGAGCAGGAAGAGGAGGAGGGGAAGGAGGAGAAGGAGGAGGAGAAGGAGGAGGAGGAGGAGGAGGAGAGAGGGGAAGGAGGAGAGAGGGGAAGGAGGAGGGAGGGGGAGGAGAAGGAGGAGGAGGAGGAGGAGGAGGATGAGGAGGAGGAGAAGGAGGAGGAGGATGGACGAGCTTCTGCTCCCCGCCGAGAACTTCGGGGGGTTCCTCGGCATGAAAGAACCTTCGCGGTCGTAGGGGGTCGGTGCAACGATCCCGAACATGTGCAGACGCCCCACGACGCCATGGGGGCCACGGAGCTGGGCGCAGCTCCGGAGCAGGCCGCGGAGGGCGGGGACGGCCTGGGGCCAACTCTGAGTGGGCCGAGGCGCCGACGGGGCGCTCGAGCCCCGGGTCCAGCCCCGAACCTCCAGAGCCCCTGAGATCCTGGCGACTCCATTGTTTCGAGCCGGGCGTCTTCACTCAGCTTTCGGGCCGCAGGACCCTCACAGATCGATGCGGCTCGAAAAGTGATGCAGAAGGACGGGGTCTCCTGGGGCCTGGTCTGGATTTTTGTACGATGTTGCAAGTCTTTTGCAACGTCGGATCTCAGTGGTAAACGTGTTCTTCTCTTTCCCCAGTGCGGGTAATGTCTATATCCACATCCAGGGCGTCTTGGAATTTCGGGCTCTCTTCCCCCAAAAAATGAGGCGCACTGGACATGAATTAAAATCTTGACCCAGAAGGCCCGATTTTATCCATATCCAGTGCGCCTCGGCCTTGCGGCGCCCCTCCCAAGAAAATCCAAGAGGCACTGGATATGGATATAAGTATTGCCCGCACACAGTGCGGTCGTGACCCTGGAAGGGGAGGGGTTCGGGCGGGAGGGTAACGGTAGCAGCGGCCGCGGCGTGCACCCGCCAGAGTGCGCCCGCGCCTCTGGCGCACCAAGCGCCTGTGCACACCACGGCATGTCGGGGGGGTCCAGGCCCCCTCCCGGATCGTTAGCGTTACCCTTAAGTCGGGCGTGTCCTCCTGCAAGGGGACCTTCGACGAAAAATAAAAAATACCCCAAAAATGCCCCAGAAAGGTCAACAAATAGTCCAAACATAGTCCCCAGACTATTTTTGGACTATTTGTTGATTATTTTTAGGGTAGTTTTTATTTTTCGTCGAAAATCCCCCTGTAAAGGGGACAGGCCCGACTTAACGTTACCCAGGGGGTGGGGGTGAGGGTAACGGGCGCTGCCTTGAAAGGGGAGAAAAAACGCTCATAGACGTATACAGACATCCGAAGCCGGTGTGATTGTCCCAATCCGCGAGAACTGACGGTCGCCCGAATCGGTCGCGGCGCGCACGGAAAGGCCGCAACGGCGAAAGTGAATCTCCGACGCGGCAGACATGATTGTCGGCAGCGGCCTTGCTGAACATCGGCAGCGCCACAGCGCCACAATACAGTTCGGCAGCGCGCTGCCGACATGCAAGTGCTTGCCGGAACACGCCGACGCCCGGCTCGTTGCTGGAATTCGCGAGCCGAGGCCAAAGCTCCGTGGCGACGGGTTTGTCCCCTGACATCCGGCCGCTCCAATTTTTTCCATGCGTGGGCCCCGGAGGTCCCGGTTTTTCGCCCGCAGGGGGGGGGGGGCGAGGTCCGAGCTCCGAGGTTTAGGAGGAGGAGGAGGAGGAGGGGGAGGAGGAGGAGGCCCGCCGAGGGCCTCCAGGGGCCGAAAATAGTTCAAAGCCTGCCGCTCCCATTTTTGTCGGGGCGTCGTATCTCTGGGTCCGGAGCGTTAGGGCCTTCTTGCGAGAAATTGCCCGTGACGGATGATCTGGGTTTCTTCGCCCAGGATTCACTGTTGATGGCCCCGGGGCCCGGGCACGGCCCGAGAGGGCCGGGCATCGAGAACGAGGCGCCAGTCCACGAGCACCACGTCGTCGGAGATCTGGCTACGGTCGGGGACTTTTGCTCAGCATGTTGCGGCGGCGGCCACGGCGACACGCTATGCCCTGCGAGCAGATAGCGTGTCGCTCCGCTCCGCGGGGCGGAAGTCGGGAGCGGCAAAGAGGGGGGTGTCCAAGAGGGGGGGGTGCAAATCATGACCGGCGGCATGTGCGCGGCCCAGCGGGGGGGCCAGGGACGTAATGAAATAAGAAGAAGCGCCATGAAATCTGGGAAAAATCATGGCCCCCGCCATGATATCCACCCCCCCCTAGTCATCACCCCCCTCTTTTCCGCCCCCAAGGAAGGCTGGGGAAAGGATCGGGACGTTGACGCTCCAGGGCTGGGACGTGGCTCGCGTGTCGCGTCGAGGCGCCGTGGGCCAGAGCCAGCGGCACGACGCGCGAAGCCAAAATCCCTCCCGCATGACGCGAGGCCGTGGGGCCACTGCCGTGCGGCCCGCGCCTCCACGGGGCCCTCCAGGGCACCCGATGTGCTTTTGAGACGGCCCAGGAAGGCCACGGAGGCCACCGAAATGGCCCGACATTGCCTCAAAACGCACGCGCGAGACCCTGAGTGGGAGAGGCGTAAGACTCGGGTGAAAGGGACGCGGGTTGGCCTGACGGAGCCGTGCCGAAAATGACGAGGCCCGGTCTAGATTTTTCGCGAACTCCCGCTGCAAATCCAGCGAAAGCTGGACCGTCAAAATCCAGCGCGGGCTCGTCAAAAAACGTCGGCAAACCCTAGTTCTGGCGAACTCGAGTCTTCCGTCTCACCGTCTGAGGAGCGCCAGATAAGTCCCCAAAAACCTCCAACATGCCCAAAGACACCCCCACTGCGCTTCCGCACTCCTCAGTCCAAGATCGGTCCCAAGGATCGTGAGCTTGGACGGCCCCAATGGACACGCAAAACCATAATGGTGCGATGCCCAATGACACATGTTGACAAAAAGCGACAGCGGCCGCTGTTGGGCAGGCGGCCTCCTGTCTCGAATGAATAGCTTTCTCGGCGACATCGACGGCGAGCCCTCTTCAAAATGAGCAGGACATGCTTTCGGCTTTCGTGCCGCGGGCTCGTGTCGTGTCGACCCCGGCGTTGGTTCCTGACACCGCGGGGATCGTGCTGCCGAAACGTCGGATTATTTATTCGACATCGACCGATTCTGGGTCGCTGGCGGCGTCCAACGTTGAACGGCGGCTGCAGGGCTGCCGCGGGTCAACACGACGCGAAACTGCCGTATCCATTCATTCCGTAATTACCGACTTCCACCATACCAACCCAGACATGCGACGTCCTGATTTTTTCAGGACGGCGCCCCCGAAGTCCAGACCGTTTCCCGGGGGCCGGTTTTTCATCCTGAATCGTTTTTTGACGGTCCCGAGGCCCGGCGAGGGCCTCCCGAGGCCGAAATTGGCCAAAACCTCCTGTCCTGCCTATTCTTTCACGACGCGATCATGTCCGGGAGGCGAGGCCGCGTGTGCTGCCGCAGCACTCCCGGGCTGGGCGGCCCCGCCGTTCTTGCAGACCTCCGTGCGTCCCACGACCTGGCCCCGAGGGGCCGGCGCGCGCCCTCTCAGCGTGACACGACCCGGCCGCGTCCCCACTCCACCCACGCACCTCGCGTCGAGGGCCCAGCTGCTCCTCCCCCTCCTCCTCCTCCTCCTCCTCCTCCTCCTCCTCCTCCTCCTCCTCCTCCTCCTCCCCCTTCCTCTCCTCCTCCTCCTCCTCCTCCTCCTCCTCCTCCCTCCTCCTCCTCCTCCTCCTTCCTCCTTCTCCTCCTCATCGTCAATGGTCTCCCTTCCTCATCCTTTCTCCTTTTCCCTCCTCCTCCTTGCTGTCCCCATTCGTTTCCCCAAGCATCCTTAGCCGGGTTCTGGTTTTGAACAGCGCACTGCGGTCGCACACCTCGTGCCCACCTCCCGTCTTTGCTGTCTGTCATCCTGCCTGCCATCCTGCATTCTGTCCGGCTTGCCAGCCTACCTCCTACCTCGCCGTCCTACGTGACCTCGCCATCCCTTGGGGGGGTCACCGCTTTCGAAGGAAGCTCCCCGACGTCGTGATCTTTTTCACAGCGTCCACCCCCAGAGGTCTGGACTCCATTCCCCAGAACTGGCTTTTCATCCTGATTCGTTTTTTGACGGTCCAAAGTCCCAGGACGTGTCCCCGGAGGCCGAAGATAGCGAACAACCTCCCATCGTGATTTTTTCACAGCGCCAGGGGGCCTGGGTCAGCCAGACGGCTCCAAGCTTTGTGCTGCGCCCTACTGCAATAGCCTCATCCCCGGGAGGGGAGACGAGCGCTCACGGGCAACGTGGAGGCCGCGGCAGCGGTGGCTTCTGCGAAAGAAGGTGCCTGGCTCGGGCCGCCGGCCTGAGGGGCAACGATAGGGGGGGACTGGCATCAGGGGGGATGCATCGACCTGGAATCGGCGATGCACCGCCGTTAGATCGACGATGGGCCTCCGATCGTGAATCCGCACCGTCTGTCCTGGGCAGGCTGGGGCCATCGGGCTCCTATCGGCGATCAATGGGCGACTGGGGGGCGATGCGTCCCCCCCATATAACCATCCCCCCCTATCGTGGCCCCTGACGCCCCAGCCTCATCGCACGGTCTCCTCTCCGTCACCGCCGCCGCCGCCGCGCCTCCGCGCCGCAGCACGACGGTTCCGGGCACCCCTTGCCTTTGTTTGCCTCTCCCTCTCTGCGCTCTCTCTTCTCGTTCGCGTTCGTGCCTTCGCTTCCGGGGCATCCCACCGCTCGCTCTGACCGGCGCCTGACCGTCTTGCACCACCTGGCGCCCGCAGCCTTACGGAATATTCTTGCTCGTCGCCGCGCAGGCGGTCGCTCAGCGCGGTCGGGGCGGCAGACCGAGACGCGGGAGCGCTGATTGAGCACGGGAAGCGCAAGGAGGGAAGGAGGCGGCCGCGGGGGTGGTGGGAGATTCGAGGCAAAACCAAGGGTCATATGGGGGGATGGGCGATGACACACCGTGTTACCTGCCGCCGCTGGAAGATCAACGAAGCTCGACGACGACGACGACGACGACGCCCGCTAGCAGACCAGACTGTACCCTCTCTATTGATCATCGCTCAGGACGCTGCTGCGTGACAGGCCCGCCCGGGCATAACCAGCCCACGTGCCTCCCTCCTTCTCTATCGTGTACAAGCGCACGGCCTCGAACAAAGCAGCCCTGGCTCGAGAGATCAGCCCGTGGCCTGGCCAGGTGTTCCGCGCCTGATCCGCAGGCTCTATATCGGTGGGAGACATGTGAATTCGGAGGGGCCAGCACGACATCGCCACGTTTTTGCCGACGTCCGTTCAGCGGCCTTGGGTAAATCGCGGCCTTGGCCTTGGTAGAGCTGGGTGCACCAACGGTGCACCCTGCTCTTTCTAGGCACGAGGTACATCAACACCACCATCACGGCTACCGCGAGGACCAAGACGAGTCCTCCTGGTGGTATGGTCCCTCCTTGACGCGGCGCCCCGCTCTAGACATCTCCCGCCTCCAGCTCGGGAGGGCATCGTGAACCTCACGGCCGAAGGTGGCCCGCTGGTGGTGATGGTGTCGCTCCTCATCTTAGGTCGGGCATGTCCTCCTAAAGCCTTTTTTTGCAAGTAAAATAAAAAAAGCAATCAAACATATACCGAAGTATTCAAAAGGGCAATACATGAATCGTCCCTGGCGTATGTTTGACGGTTCTCGAATACTCCTCCTGTCGAGGAGCATGCCCGACTGAATCCTCACCCCTCTGGTCCCCACGACACGGCACCCGCCCGGGCGCCTGCTCGGTCCCATCCGCGAGCCCGCAGGCGAGCTGCACGAACACGTCCTGGAGCGCCGCGGCGCGAAGCCACCGTGATCAGCAGCAACATCGGGAACCGATCCACACCCACCACCCGTGGAAAGCGACGCCCTGGGATGAACACATCTTGGGGCCCCTCTGGGACGATAATGCATCTCGATAGCCACCGCCTGTCGAGGTCTCCTCCTGATTACGGCCAGCACGGCAGACAACGGCCAGCGACAGATGCCTGCGCACGGGCTGCGGGGCGGCCGAGGAACGAGTGGGCGAAATGCCTGTTGAACATGATCGGCCCACACTTCGCTTCCAAGGAGTGCAGAGCAACCGCGAGCCCTCTGCTTGGCGAAGGTTTCTGGCTGATGTCGTATCCTCTCCTTCTCCTCCTCCTCCTCCTCCTCCTCTTCGTCCTCCTCCTCCTCCTCCTCCTCCTGCCACGCACAGTGTTCACTAGCCAACCGACGGCGTACCGCCACTCCCGCAGAGCGGTGCGAACAGGCTGGCAATGCCCTCTTCCGCCCACGCGCCCTGGCGTATGGCACGCGTGAGTGACCCAGCGAGTGGGTGCCGAGGCCTCCGAAGATCGATCCTCCAGGAGGTGGTCATGTAAACATGCCCTCCTCGGACCTCCATCATCCGAAGGGGGGCGCCGCTGCAGTGTGGCCGCGCGCACACGGCGGTGGCGCGACGGGGGCGACCTGCTCAGAAGGCCCGGGGGGGCTCCCGAGAGGCCCGCGGGCCCACAAGGGGCCTTCTCAGATGCTCCTGGGGCCCTGCCCTCTGAGAGGCCCCCCCCCCCGCCTTCTCGGACGGCCGCCCCCCCCTCAGGCCCCCGTGTGCGCGCCATCGAGCAGTGGTGGAGTTGGTAGGTCGCTCACGGGCACTCCATTCGGCCGCTCGGCTGAGCAGGCCGTCCAAGCCACGCTGTGGGCCGGCTCAGTAAGAGGCGGCTCCGCCGTTTCCCGCGGCGTCCCGGGTTGGAAGCAAGTGCGGCGAAACCTGCTGCGGCGGGAAGGCAAGAGCACCACTGGGAGTAACCGTGGCTCAAGGGCGCGCAGCCCCTGAGAGACCAAGCAAGCGATAGAAACAGAGAGAGGGAGAGAGGGAGAGACAGACAGACAGCGGCAACATCGGCGCGTTTGCAACGATACTACGATGCCAACGCGTGGACCCAAAACAGTCACTTTGCCGTCCGTGCTCGCAAAATGCTAGGTGCTACAGAAGCGTAGCACATGCTCGATAAGATTTGTGATCGTAAGGACACAGATCAGCCAGAGCCATAGCGGCCCCAAGCAGCAACGGCCGACCTGCCAACGCAGGCCACAGCGGTCCAAACAACCAACGCCACTGCGCTGCGGCCAACCGGGCAACACAGGCCAGAGCCTACAGCGGGCCAGGCAACTGACGCCATGGGCCATAGCGGTATTCGCCGCACGATGCCGCACTCCCTCGCCCCGTCCTCCTCTTCCTCCTCGTCCCCTCCTCCCTCCCCAGATCCCATCACCCGGGTCGGACGAAAGGGGGGGATTGGGAAAGGGGGGGTTACGAAATGTGCTGCATGCAGCTGGTTTCGGCCTCACCGATGGGGCCCCTTCCTCGATACATGGCCGCCTCCGGCGCCGGGAGGCGCCGAGAAGATCAGCTACATGAGCTGCTTCTCACCCCCCCCTTTTGAAGGGGCCCTGGGACACACACATAAATACACACAAATAAAAAGATTCCCCATATTTTCCTATATTTTCTGGGTTTTTGTCTCCCCCCCCACTTCCCATATTTTCCCATACTTTCCTGGGGATCGACGATTAATTGTGTCTGTGTGTTTTTTCCCCTCCTGACCTTTGCTATCCCCCCTTTCGCCCGACCCGAAGCACGCGGCGGGTCCCGGCCGCCAAGCCTGGCAGCACGGGGCCATGGCAAGCGCCGGGCGGCCAAGACCACGAGGGCTCCCACGCTGCGACGGCCGACCGCACAGCTCGGCGCCGGCTCCCCTGGGAGCATGGCATGGCCAATACGGTGCAGGGCAGTTTTAAAAAAACATGGGATTTTTGTTTTTTTAATATCGGAGTTTTAGTGTATGATTGATTTATGAATGAATTCATGCATGAACTCATCGTTGCTTCTAATACTAAGTCCCTGCATGTTTAACACATGATCCGCACGCGGAGCATGTATTAAAAACGGCACTGTACGGTAGGGGCCCGACCACCAGAGACCTTCCAGAAGACACCCAACCTTGAGACCCCAGGACGTGTCACGCTGTCCGCAACAAAGCCATGGAGACCCAAGAAACCCAGGGCACCCTGGAGGCGAACAGGGTGTTTGTTGGCATGGGCCCCACTGCAAGCGCGAGGGCAACCACAACTTGGAGAGCACATGGCCCTGCCCCTCCCGGTGAAACCAGGCCTCTCGGATTCCTGGGCCTCGCGGACCTCCTGGACTCGGCGGCGAGTGAGAGGGGAAAATGAGAAGGAGAAGGCCTTCTCAGAAGGCTCGGAAGTCCCCCGGCCTTCTGAGAAGTTTTCTAAGCCTTCCCCGAAGACAAACAACAACTTCTCAGAAGGCGCGAGGGCTTCTGAGAAGTTCCGCCGCCTTCTGAGAAGGCCTTCTCCTTCTTACTTCCCCCCCCTCGCTCGCCGCCGATGGACGCCCCTGCCAGAGCGGCGTCTACTCGGCCTTCTGGACCTTCTGCACCTTCCAGCTGGGCTCATGAGCAGCGCAAAAACTGCCACGAGAGCGCCCGAACGGCCCAACGAGGGCCATAACGGCTCCAGATGCAACCCGAGACGCCCCACGACGACCCAACTAAGATCCTCCAAATGCCACCCCAACACAAATGCCATTTGTATTCTCGAGGTATTCACTTGGGTCTCCCGGGCACCCGAGACAGTCCGAGAGGCCCCCATGATCGCTCAAAGACAAACTTAAAAGGTCTCAAGACGACCAGAAGATCCAAGACGGCCCAGCAGGGCCCCACGAAAGCTCTAAGACGGCCCCTAATTGCCCCAAACGTTCCGAATCGAGACAAGATCGCGAAAGGAACTTGATCGGACAAGAACGGGAAGCACCGATTTTGCCCATTGGGGGTAAAAAAGGAAAATATGATGGCGACGACAAGGCGGCGGATGACGAGGATGACAGCGTGGATGACGTGGAGGGCAGCGATGGGAGCAGGAGGACAACGATTAGGAAGACAAGCGCGCGGACGAGGAAGAAATGCAAGAGGGCGAGTACGAGGAGGAACGAAGCGGAGAGGGAGGAGGAGAAGGATGAGGAGAAGAAGAAGGACGACAACGACGAAGAAGGACGATAAGGAGCACGAGGAAAAGCACGTCGAAGAAGGGGGGGTCCTCGTGATCTTTTCAGGCTACCCTGGGGGCTGTTGGGGCCATCTGGGGGCTACCAAGATCACCCAAGAGGCCTCGAAGACGGCCCAAGATGGCCCCAAGGTGGCCGAAGATTGCTTCAAGGAGGCCCAAGATGCCTCCAAGAGGGCAGAACAGGGCCACACGAGGACCTCCAACAGGGTCCGAAGAAGCCGAAATCATTGATTTCCCTGGTTGTTGAATGAGTTTCGCATTCTCGCCGTTTCGGGCTGCCGTCAGCTCAAAACGGCCCCCCAAAAATACACGATGGCCCAAGGGGCATCCAAGACGGCCACAGGACGGTCCAAGAGGGCCTCCAGTGGGACCCAAGACGGCCTTAGAGAGCCGTTCGACGGCCCAAGACGGCCCCTAAGCACCCACCATACGGCCACGAGGGCCCCAAGACGGCCGAAGAGAACCCCAAGCCAACGTAAGAAAGCCCCAAGACGGCCCCTAGGGACCCCCACGACTGCCTCACAAGAGGCCCAGACAGAAACAAGACGGCCCAAACGAGTTGCACCATCACCATCACCATCACCATCACCATCATCAGCATCAGCATCATCAGCATCAGCATCAGCATCAGCATCATCATCATCAGCATCATCATCACCACCATCGTCAGCATCGTCGCGCCCACCACCACCACCACCGCCATCATCATCATCATCATCATCATCATCAGCATCATCATCATCATCATCATCATCATCATCATCATCATCATCATCAGCATCATCATCACCACCCTCGTCGTCGTCAGTGTCGTCGTCGGCGTCATCACCAGCATCATCATCACCATCACCATCACCATCGCCATCGCCATCACCATCACCATCGTCATCAATATCATCAACTGCATCCGTATCATCAGCACACTCAGCATCGTCATCATCCGCATTATCACCAGCATCATCAACATCACCATCATCACCATCAACCTCGTTATCAGCATCATCATCATCACCAGCAGCAGCACCATCAGCATCGTCATCAACAACATCATCGCTAACATCATCGTCGTCAGCATCATCATCATCAGCATCATCAACGTCATCATCATCGCCAGCAACAGCATCAACATCAACATCATCATCATCATCATCATCATCATCATCATCATCATCATCATCATCATCAACCGCATCAACATCCCAATCATCATCCACATCGTCACAATTGGTCCTCCTCACCCTCACCAGCATCCACATTCACATCCACATCCTCAACTGTACCTTCATCACGTTCATCATCAACATCGTCACCATCATCATCAACACCGTCATCCCCATCATCAGTATCACCGACATCATCAATATCGTCAATATCCCCATAGCCCTCATACTCATCATTATCCTCATCACGGCTCTCCCAAACCTGGAGATACGAGGTGCTACACGCGACGGCCTAGCGTGCCCCATCGAACAGTGGCCACCCCGAATGCTGGGCTGGCACGGTTGCGGGACTTGCCGCAGGCAGCTGGATAGGTGTAGACTAAGCCTCTGGTTCACAACGTAGGCACGGTGGCAGGTTGGGCCAATGGCTTCTCGTTTTTTTCTTGTTTTCCGTTCTCTCGCTCTCTCTCTCTCCCCCTCCCTCCACATGTAGCAAGAAACAATCAAGAAACATGGCATGGTTCCACGCCGTACTTGGAGGCGAGATTCGGAGCCACGAGAGACACGCGACATAGCAGCTGTCATCGCATGCCGCAGCGGCTGAATGCGCGCTGCGGCTAAGGGCGCGTGGCAAAACTCCTGAGTCGGCTTGAGACTGTCGAAGATTCGGACGAGCTCTGCCTCGCAATGCCGTGCAAAAGATCAGGTGTCCGCAACATACTAGCGAATGCTGCAGCTGGTACGTAAGCGTTGTGCACGCTGCGCTGCTCTGATATGAACTTGTAACCCGACAATGTCACGAACTCCATCCAGCTGCACACGTACGGAACATGTTGATGCAATTGTGGTCGTACCTACTCTGCGCCTAGCTTATCTCACTTCCGAGACGCTGGGAGGGGAATTGCACATGCAGATCACTGAGGGGAACATCGCAGGACGGGGGGGCAAGCACCCCCCCCCCTAACCATCCAGCAATTGCCGCTTCCCGCGTGCCTCGACGACGGTGATGTCGATGTGCTTTCCGCTCAGAACCTCCTCCATGCCTGCAGGTCCTCGGGCATTGGCGCACATTTGCGGGACTGCTTGACCACAGAACCTCCGCAGTTCGGGTCGGGCGAAAGGGGGGGCATAGCAAAAGGGGGGGTTGAGGATCAGCTCACGCAGCTGATTTTCCCGGCGCCTCCCGGCGCCGGAGGCGGCCAAGCATCGAGGAATGGGCCCCTCGGTGGGGCCGAAACCAGCTGCATGCAGCAGATTTCGAATCCCCCCCTTTCCCTAGTCCCCCCCCTTTCGTCCGGCCCGAGCAGTGCCTGCCGCACTGCCGGCCCGACGCCAGGTCTTCCCCACGGTGAGGGCACGTGCGCAGCCCTGGCACGGGGCCAAGAGCAGCTGGCGGGCACGCCCCAGTGAAGAGGCCCCAGGACACACAAATAAATACACACAAATAAAAAGATCCCCAATATTTTCCCATATTTTCTGGGTTTCTGTCTTCCCCCCCACTTCCCATATTTTCACATATTTTCCTGGGGATCGACGATTAATTGTGTCTGTGTGTTTCTTCCCCTCCTGACCTAGGGCCGGGGCGAGAACCGCAGAGAGGGGACGACGCCCAGCAGCGAAGGCCCACAGCGGGCAGCGGCCGCCGTTGGGCAGGGGGCCGCTGAACCCCGAAGCGGCCCCAGCGGCCCCCTGCTGGCCACCGCTCGGACGTCCATTCCCTATGTTTTTTTCGGTTTCGCGCGCGTTTTTTTCGCCAGATGGTCGAGGATGCTCCTCGAAGGCCCTCGCCGAAGGAAAAATGCACACGTCCTGCGGGGTCCATCTGGTGCGGTGTTTCACTCCAGCTTGGTTCTTGACGGACCCGGGCCCGAGACGGCCCCCGAAGGAAGAAGAAAGCCAAACGCCTTCCCGGGCCCAGAACACCTCGAACTTCGCTCCCCCACCCTGCTCGCCGAACCAATGCTGGGCCACCTGTTGCCCCCAGCCGACTCCAAACAAGGACCGCTGCCCGTCGTCGTCCGGAGGAGGAGAAGGAGGAGGAGGAGAATGCGGAGAAGAAAAAGGAGGGAGGGAGGGAGGGAGGGAGGGAGGGAGAAGGTGGAGGTGGAGGAGGAGGAGGAGGAGGAGGCGGAGGCGGAGGCGGAGGAGGAGAGGGGGCAGAAGGAGGAGGAGGAGGCGGAGGAGGAGGAGGAGGAGGAGAAGAAGGACGAGGAGGAGCAGAAGGAGGAGTCGCAGGAGGAGGAGCAGGAGAGGGGATGGACAGGGCGCCAGGGGTGGGTTGCAGCGGTCGAGGGGGGGAAAGGCTGGCTCAGGTCGGGGTGGGAAGATCGGCATGGAATCGGCGAGACCTGGCCGACAGAAATCGGCGATGGGCCCCCGATTGACTACCTACCAGACCACCCCAACCCACCCCCGAAGACCCGAATTTCGGGTTGGGGGGGGTAAAGGTTCCACATGTGTTTTTTCAACGACTCCCGACCCCCCCCCCACTGGAAATCGAGGGTAAATCTGAGCCTTCGGGTTGGGTTGGGGTGGTTTGGTGGGTGGTGACCGATGGCAACTCCTCACGCTCCTGGGGCGGGCTGGGCCATCGAGCGCTTAGCGGCGATGAATGGGCGATTGGGGGTCGTGGGAGTCGACCTTACCATATTATTGGCTCGTGCGAATCGACGTCCATCGATACTGCATCGACGCTCACCGACGCTCATCGCTAACACATCGACGCTGAATCGGCGCTTCCGTAGCGATGACCAGACGCTCACGCACGCCAGTGCCCTGTACGACCGGACCTGCGAGGACCTACCGGGTCCCAGGTCTTGCCGCCGAAGATGCGCTCTCCCCCGAGCTTACCCGCCCTGCGGCCAAACACTTCTGCTCAGCGTGTCGCGGCGGCGGCCCCGGCGACACTGGAGGGAAAAGAACTATGCACATGCACCGATTCTGGCCAGGCCCATCCTGAGCCCAGGATCGGTGCATACGCCCTCCTGCCTTGGCCAGGAAGGCATACGCACCGATCCTGGGTCAAGGATGGGCCTTGCCAGGATCGGTGCATGTGCATAGTTCTCTTCGCCCGACCTGCGGCCAAACACTTCTGCTCAGCGTGTCGCGGCGGCGGCCCCGGCGACACGCCGCGTGCCGCTCCGCTCCGCGCGGCGGGGAGGCCGGGAGACGCTCGGGCCGTGGAACTCCCGAGGCCCAAGAAGCTGGTTGGCGTGCTGCGCCGAGACGTGGCGGGCCAGAACCCGCGGCGCCACTCGCTGGGCCAGGATTCCTGCGAAGGAGGCGAGGGAGGAGGATAAATAAGGAGGAACATAGGAGGAGGAGGAGGAGGAGGAGGAGGAGGAGGAGGAGAGGAGATGAGAGAGGAGTGATGATGATGATGATGATGATGATGATGATGATGATGATGATGATGATGATGATGATGATGATGAGGAGGAGGAGGAGGAGGAGGAGGAGGAGGAGGAGGAGGAGGAGGAGGAGGAGGACCGGTGCGAACCCAAGCTTCATCAACGATTTTGCAATCAACCCTCCCTCCCTTCAAGTTCCCTCGTCACAGGCCCCTACAAGTATTCATGTTCACGAGGGAAGTGCCCCTGGTTGGAAGACAGCCGGCCGAACATTCAGAACTGTGCCAGCACAGAGTTCCTGGGACGTCAACGCCGCGAATCACCGTTACTGTTGCTCCTTGACGTTCCCGAATCGTGCCAGAGCGCTGTCTTCCTGGAACCTCAACACCGCGAATCAACGTGACTGGTGCGCCCTGACGTTCCGACATCGTGCCAAAACATCTTCTCTGGGACGTTGACCACGAAAGCCCTTGAAACAACTGGAAACTCTTAACAAGACGAGTGTGCACGGCACAAAGCGAGAGCTACATTTTGAAAACGGACGAGCCTCCACCCGCGAAGATTCGGCGAACTTGTAGAACGAGTGTGCGATGTTGAAAACAGACAACGCCCCATCCGCGAAATCCTTCCAAGCTTCTTAAGACGCATGTGCTTGGCGCGGGCACGAGAACTACAGATTGAAAACGGACCGCCCTCCATCCGTGAAAATTCTGCAAACTTTAGAAGACGAGTGTGCGCGGCGCTGAGGCGAGAACTAAATTTTGAAAGAGGGCCGCCCTCCACCCGGTGCAGATCATGCAAACTTCTAAAACGACCGTGCACGGCGCTGACGGCGAGAACTACATCTTGAAAAAACGACCCGCCCCACATCCGTGAAACTGTTGCAACTTCTGGAGCTTCAAGGTGATAGGTGGTGAGGCAGGCGATGCGCCCGGCCAGCCCTTTCGACCGGCCACGGGGGTCGTGGAGGAGGAGGAGGACGACGACGACGACGTAGGACCTCGATCCTCGATCCTCGATCGATGATCCTCGAGTCTGCCCCTGAACAGCTAGTTTACCTCGTGACGACTTCGGCGCCACATCACTACTCGGCCCCGGCGCACCCAACGGTCCTGGGAACCGCTAACGAGCGCAAACGCCCAGAGTGAATAATTGCAGCGCTAAGACGAAGCCAGGACGTGGATAATCTCGGGAAGGGTAAATCGAGAATCCTGGAGATCCGGCGGCTCTGGGGCGCAGCGGCCTTCTCGGTGCGGTCCGAAACGCTCTGAGAACGTTCGGGAACGCGCTGGAAGGGGTTGAGCCACGCCCGAAGCGCCCAGATTTCAAGGAAGTCTGGGCTCTCCAGCCTCCGAAGTCAGGATCCATCAGCATCGCATCCGCAAACCGAATCGAATCGGAACGTGCTTCGGATGGGACCGCATCGGGACGAGGCCGGAGTCCTGTCGAATTCGCCGCGCCAGGATGCACGACGGCACCATGCAAACACAGGAGGCCGCATCGCATCGCACGGGTACAGGAATCGAAGCGCATCGAGCGTGAGCATCGTCTGACCGACCCCTATCCCCATGGGCGTGGCCTGGGCCACACTGGCCGATCTCACCCCCCCCAGCTGGGGATATCGGCCAGCTCCCTTCGGGCTCCGGAGGGCACATCTCCCCAGCTGGAGTGGAGGGACGGTCGGGGCCTGGACGGGGATGGGGATCTGGGCTCTGGGGTCGGCCAGACGATACCGAGAGCGGGCCAGCATCGAGGTCGAATCGCATCGGGCGGACCGCCGGTGGGCCCTCGCTCGAGGGGGGCCACCCGGGCGCCGGCGCCCCGCCGCCGCTCCTCGGCCCTCGCGCAGCGCAGCGCCCGCCCGCAGCGCGCCTTCCCCCCCCCCCCTCGGCGCGGCGCGGCGCGAGCCCCGGCGGCGGGGCCGCGCGCGCGGCGGCCCCGCCGCCGCCGCCCCGCGCGGCGGGGGGGCGCCGACGCCGCGGCGGCGGCGCGGCGCGGCGGAGGGCGACGGCGGTCCCAGGAGCACCCCTCCCTGGACTTTCCGGGTCGGGCGAAAGGGGGGGATAGCAAAGAGGGGTTTGAGAATCAGCTCACGTAGCTGATTTTCCCGGCGCCTCCCGGCGCCGGAGGCGGCTATGTATCGAGGAATGGGCCCCTCGGTAAGGCCGAAACCAGCTGCATGCAGCAGATTTCGTACCCCCCCCTTTCCCAATCCCCCCCTTTCGCCCGGCCCGAACTTTTGGGTCGGGCATGTCCCCAACAGGCAGATCTGGAAGCAAAGCTTCCAACTAGTTACAACAACATTCAAACATCGCCAACGAAGGCTAGGAAACTCGTCCCACGACTACACGTTGACTATTTTGGAATATTCCTCCTGTAGAGGGACATGCCCGACTTAAATATTAGCATGTCGGTCTGTCGCCGAGGTGGGTCCGCCTCTGTACGCCTCCCGGCCTCCCAACGAACAACCAACCTTGCGAAAATGATGAATGAACATGGCCTCTCAGGACCCTCCAGACAAAAGAGAGAGAGAGAGAGCGAAGCAACATAGTGCTGACAAACTGCAAAAGAAGAGTGCAATCCATAGATGTGGTTGTGGCCTCTCACCTCTCAGGGCCTTCTTGGGGGTCCTTTTCGGGGCTCCTCTGGGCCATCGTGGGGCCCTCTTTGGCGCGGTAAGGATGCAAGGGCCTTGGAAGGCCATGCCGGCACTCTGCTGGCGGGGCGCGGCCTGTGAAAGCGGCCGAGGATGGGCCGGAGGGCAAGGACGCGAGGGCAAGACCTGGAAAGTCGCTCCTCCTTCCTGCGCGGGTCGACTTGTGCCGCCTCCCTGGGCCTGCTGCTGTCCTTTTCGGGCTCCTTTGGGCCACCTTGGGGCCCTCTTGGGGCGCTCTTGGGTCCTCCGTCTTCTCGGGAGCGGCCAAGAGGGGGGTGTCCAAGAGGGGGGGGGGGCAAATCATGACCGGCGGCATGTGCGCGGCCCAGCGGGGGGGCCGGGGACGTATTGAAACAAGAAGGGGCGCCATGAAATCTGGGGAAATATCATGGCCCACGCCATGACATCCCCCCCCCCCCGAGTCATCACCCTCCTCTTTGCCGCCCCCGACTTCGGGCGCTCTTGGGCCCTCCGCCTTCGGGCCCGAGGCTCGGGGCCTCCCTTCCGGGGAAGCAGCACGCGAGAGACGCCGCAACCGCGCGCGTTTTTCTCTCCCGGGCTCGGGCGCCCACGGCCGCGGCGCGCGCGCGCGCGCGCTGCTGCAGAGGAGCACAAAAAACAGCATGCGCGCCCTTCAAGGGGCCCCAGAACACACAAACAAATACACACAAATGAGATATTCCCTATATTTTCCTATATTTTCTGGGTTTCTGTCTCCCCCACACTTCCCATATGTTCCCATATTTTCTTGGGAATCGACGATTCGTGGTGTCTGTGTGTGTGTTTTTCCTCCTGAACCACTTCGGAGAGCTCCGTGCGGACTTCCTGGAGCGGCGCTGGGAGCTTCCCCCTCCCTAGCGCGCGGAGCGCGCCAGGGGCGGCACCGGCGGCGCCGCAAGGAGGGCATCCGCGCAGAGCCAGGAAACGTCCGCGCGGAGCTCAGGAGACGGGGTGCGCACGCGGTTCTTGCTGGTCTGTCGGTGCTCTGCATCCTTCGGGTCGGGCGACAAGGGGGGGATCGCAAAAGGGGGGGGGTTGAGAATCAGCTCACGTAGCTGATTTTCCCGGCGCCTCCCGGCGCCGGAGGCGGCTGTGTATCGAAGAACGGGCCCCTCCGCGGGGCCGAAACCAGCTGCTTGCAGCAAACTTCGTATCCCCACCTTTCCCAATCCCCCCCCTTCGCCCGGCCCGAATCCTCCAGGGCGAGAAGGGGAAAAGGGCCTCCCTCCCTCCTCCTGCCTCCTCCTCCTCCCTCCCTCCTCCTCCCTCCTCCTCCTCCTCCCTCCTGCTCCTCCTCCCTCCTCCTTCCTCCTCCTCCTCCTCCCTCCTCCTCCCGTCTCCTCCCTCCTCCTCGTCCTTCCTCCTCGTCCTCCTCCTCCCTCCTCTTCGCACCGCCCAATCCGCAGAAGGGGAAAAACCAGAACCGCACAGCCCGAAGGCATCAACTCTCGGAGGCCCGTGCGGATATCTCCCCTGCTCGCGCGGAGGTCGGGGCCCCGCGGGCGGGGGCTCCCCGATGCAGTCGAAAACCCTAACAGGGACGCGCGGTGAGGACGCGAGACCCTTTGGGAGCCGAAGCTGGGATTTTGGGGGCGGCGGGCGACGAAACTTTTTCTTTTCTTTTTTTTTTTTCCTCGGGCCCGGGGCCACTGCTTGTTTTTTGTTTATCGTTTATAGTCGAAGAATCCGCCACCCCGCACGGGACGGCGGGCGACGAAACTGGTCTTTTGACTGTGCACTGGACATCTCAGTGCATCCACGAGTCGAAGCATTCCCCGCTCTGCTCCATCTCCAGTTGGATCTCTGGCAGCCCTGGCAAACGTCTGGCCTGTGAAGCCCTGGTCTCCAGGGACCCGACGGACCGCGACAGGAGCGGCGCCGGAGGCGCCGCCACAGAGGGTCCAGCACCGACCCAAGAGATCCACGCGGACCTGCGAAAACTGGTGTTCGTGCCGCTTGTTTGCTTGTCACGCCCGAAATGGGTACGGAAAAAAACGCAGGATGCCCAACAGCAAAAGCTGTCCAAAACTAACTGCGCCCGCTGCTGGGCAAGCGACTTGATGCTTCAAACGGGCAGCGCACGTGGCAACACTGGCAGTGAGTCTGGTCCAAAAGGGGCACAACTGCTGCTTGTCCCTACGTTGTCCGTGCCCAGTTCGACCGTACCGGCCTCTTGCGGCATGAAGCAAATGGGTCCTGAGGGAAACTGTTCCCGGATCCTGGGGCCTTCCCTGGAAACAACGTTTTATCCCAACTGGCCTTTTGACGGCTCAGAGGGCCGTGGACGGCTCTGCGGGCCTGGAAACAACAAAAAACTTTAGGAGCCCAAGACGGTGCAAGGAGCCCAACAACAAAAGCTTCGGAGACTCAAGAACCGTTTTCCTCGGGAGCCGGTTGCTTCATGGCGACCGTCCTCTGAGAGAGGAGAGGGCAACATCAATCAGCATCGACTCGGGGGAATCGGATCGAATCGACACGCACGTGCGCCGCATCGGGGCGCATCGGCACGGCATCGAAATCGAACCGGAGCGGCCGCGACAGGGTGCACCACAGCGCCATGCAGAGGTCGGGTCGCACCGGAATCGAGTCGGATCGGGCCGGCCTGATCCCACATCGGATCGGCCCGATCGGATCGAAGTGGACCCCCCATGGCGGAGGGAGCCTGGTTGGGAGCTGCCAGGCGGCCCCCCGCCATGGCGGCCGCTTCCGCGCCCGCGGTCCCGCGCCGCCGACGCATCCCCGATGCCTCGGCGACACGCTGGGAATGCAGCGCGATCCTCCGACCACGTCTGCAGGGCCTCAGGGTGTGACAACCGCTGCATGCAGCGGGGGCTCTTGGGGGCTCCGCCGCCGGGCCCCTTTCCTCAGCATGCGCTGGCCCCGAGCGGCAGCCCCGACGTCTGGCAAGCTCGAGTTCTGGCAGGCTCGACGTCCGGCGAACTCGAGTCTTACGTCTCTCCGGGCGGAGACACGTTTCTCGGAGCCTCAGGAGCCCACGTTAGCGAGCAACTCACGGAAAGGTTTGGTCGTCAACCATGGCGACCAATTAGCGCGTCCAATGCCGCCCAATAGCGCGCAAAGCGAGTGCAGCGCATCTCCCTTGCATGGCGCCATTGAGCGCTGTTTTGGAGCCATTCGGCGCTATGGAGCGCCATTCGGTGCTATCGGGCGCGGTGCGCGCGCTATTGGCCGCTACTGGACGCCTTTCGCCAATAGACTCTCAAGACTAGCAGAAACGTATATGTTTGAGGCCTCCCAAATGAGCTCCGAGAGCATGGCCGCATCGCTGGTGCATTGCCTTTGTATCGGCGATGCATCGGCGATGCATCGGCGACGTCTGCGATGCATCGCCCCCGTTGGCGTAGCGAAAATCGGGCTTCGCATCGAGCCGAATCCCGGCACGACCCTTCGACCCCAACTACTCGGACCCATCTGGGTGGCCTAGACAAACAGTGCGTTGAATAGCCGCCCAATGGCGCGCAAAGCGGGCGCAACGCATCTCCCCTGCATGACGCTATTCGCTGGCTATTCTGCGCTATTCGGTCGCGGTGCGCGCTCTGTTGGTCGCTAGTTACTAAACGCCATTCGCCGATAAGGATTCAATGCAAGCTTCCGTGACCTACCAGGAGAGCCCAGAATCGAATCGACCAATCGAATCGGCAATCGAAATGAACCGGATCGGCGGAAACCGGCAGCCAGGTCCCGAATCGGCGGAAATCGGCAGGCTAGCAAAGCCTCCATCGCGAAACCGAAGCCCAGATCGGAATCCGACGCCGACACACAAAATCGGAATCGGACGCGACCGAAGTCGAACCGAATCGAGTCGGAGGAGTCCGAACGAGCCCTGCCTACGAGCTAGCCGCAGGGCGGCCTCCCGCGGTGGTGGCCGCGTCCGCGCCCCGCAATGCAGGGCGACCGCCCCGACGGCGGCGCTGGCGAGGTACCGAGGACTCGAACCCCTCTGGCCGCGACCGGAATCTGGTGCGACCGACACCGCTGCCCGAAGAACTCGGGGGGGGCGGATGATCGGGGCATCCAGCCGCCATAGGAAAGTCACGAGCACCATCGAAGGTCAGGGGATTTAAAGTCTTCTCTCAGAGGCGCCCAGGGGCACGCACACAGATAGACACGCGTCCAAGGATTCCCCAGATGTCCTCGATGTTCGTCTTCCCCTCAACTTCCCATACTATCGTGTCCTTTCTATGGAATCGACGATCCACCGTGTCTGTGTTTGTCCCCCCTCATGAGCAGAGTCATGAGCATCATCGGAAGTTCGGGGATTTGAGTTCTTAGCCAGAGAGGGAGGAGGAGGACCTGTGGGCCTCGGGAGCCGCCCGGCAACTCCCCACGCTGGCGGCCGCTACCGCGCCCCGCGGCGCAGGGCGACCGCCCCGACGGCGGCGCCGGCGAGGGAGGCGTACTCCAGGCTCCGGCCTCCACGGGGCAGGCGGCCTGGGCACGGGGCTTCGTGTCTGGCCGATCGCCGGGCGATCACACACACACACACACACACACACACACACACACACACACACACGCACACACGCACACACACACGCACACACTTTTTCCGTCGGCGGCTAGGCAAAAGGACTGCGCTGGCGAGTAAAGCGAAACGGGGCGACATTCGGCGCACTCAACCACCATGCAGGAGGGAGGAGAGATCGACGACAAGACGCCGGCCATGGGAGGGGACCGAGCGGAACCGGACCCATTCAGAGCAGCCCGGGAGCGTCACACACAGATCCGATCCAGCGATCGGATCACGCTTAGGATCACGGCGACGAGCACTGGGCGACCACCGCAGCGATCATAACGATCACGGGCCGATCGCTGTGATCCGGCCGCTGTGATCGGGCGAAGCCGCTATCGGCGCCGCTATCGGGCGGTCTGGGTACGGGGCCGCCGCGCGGCCGGCGGGGGCCCGCATGTTCTTGACATCGCTCGGACGTCGATCCCCCGAGGCTTTGTTCGGTCTCGTGCGCCTGCTTTTTGTTCGCAGGGTGGCCCAGGATGCTCCGCGATGGTCCTCGACGGGGGAAACACGCACGCCTCCGGCGCACAGGAGCGACCCTGGGCAGGGAAGGTCTCTGGCGCGCGGCTTTCTCGGGGCGCGAGGGGCCAAACCCGAGCGCGCTACTCGCTGTTTGATCGCATTCTGCCATCGGGGGGTTCCGCGCGCCCGTGCGAAAGCTCACTCCGGCGACGTGCCACTCTTACGCTTAGCCGAACATGAAAGGCTTGGACATGGGCCCCGAAACCATCGCAGGGGGCGCCCCCCCCTGGAAAAATATAATAGTGGATTTCGGCGTCGGTGGTAAACTCCTGGCCACCAATGAGGCCCGAATCTTACCTCCATCGCCGTGATCGGCGGCGGCGGCCCTGGCGAGACATTGCGCTTGCAAAAAGATCCCATATCGTTCCGCGAATTCGCGGGGCGAGAAGCTCAGAAAAGCACGGAACGTTGACGCTTGGAAATGAAGAGGCCGGGGAAAACCCAGGAAAAGGAAAGCGTGTCGCGCCGAGGAATGGTGAGCCAGCGCCAGCGGAGCGACGCGCGATCCAAGCTCCTAGCCGTAGGCCAAGTCACTACTTAGTGCAGACTAAGCGGCGCAGTAGTCTTCCAGGCCGTCCGGTCAAGCCGCCCACGCGGACCACCGTAGGCTCTACCGCGAGGCCGAGCTCGCCGAGGGCGCTGGGCGGAGGACAACAACCTGGGCCGCAAGCGCCGCGGGGACGACCACAGTTGCGCCGTCAAGCTCGGCCAACTCGCGGACATTGTCAACCCGCAGCTGTAGAGGCCGCGACTTTATGGCCTGGGGAAGACTGTCCAAAGAATAATCGACACGACCGCCCCAAAACCAGCCCAGGGGGCCCTGGCCGACGCTCTGACGCACTCCAGGACACTCTGCCCAGTATGATGCCTGTCTTGAGTTGCGTCTTGCTTCGAATGCTGCGCTCGGCCCGCTCATGGAAGAATCGCCCGACGCAGCGGCCAGCGCTGCGACGCCCGCGACGCCCCGCGGAAACACCGCGCACAAAGCCATGCCAATTGATTAGCCCCCCACATCGACCCCGCCCCCCCCGCGCGCGGCTCCAAGCCCCCGATGCCGGTGATCACGGACCGCCAGCGCCGACCCGTAGTCGCACTCAGGAATCCAGCCATGGCGACGAGCCCATGGGACGTGGCTTACCCGCGGGAACGGGGCGGAGATGTTTCGTAGATGTTTTTTGCGTGCGTAGATGTTTCGTATGTGTTTCGTAGATGTTTCGTAGATGTTTCGTAGATGTTTTTTTGGGGCGAAGATGTTTCGTGGATGTTTCGTAGATGTGTGTAGATGTTTTGCCGGCGAAGTTCCCCCCGCGAGCGGATTCGGGCTCGCGGGACCACCTCGCTTGTGCATTGTAATTGACAGCGTTGTAATTTACAGCACTTCAGACGAGGTTCGGCCCGTGAACGGAATCGGGCTCGCGCGACCACGGTTGCAGCAGATGCGACCGCGTCGTTTTCGACCCCTCGGAAATGCACCGGAGATGTTTCGTAGATGTTTCGTAGATGCTTTTGCGTGCGTAGATGTTTCGTAGATGATTCGTAGATGTTTCGTAGATGCTTCGCAGATGTTTCGTACATGTTTCGTCGATGTTTGGGTAACTGGGTCTCTTGGGCAGGCGGGGTTCGAGCGCTCGGAGCCCCCCCCCGAGGGCTTCTGAGTCCCTCCCACAGAGTTCCAAGAGGCCCTTTTGAGAGCCCTCACAGGACGTATGATATCGTTTGGGCCGAGCCCTTTCGATGCGTGGTGGCGCCATGCCAACTGATTCCATTGAACAGAGCAGTCCGCAATGACAACAACACAGAGAGCGCCCACTGCACGGCCCCGCCACGCAAGATCAAACCACCAAACCACGCGATCCGCCCAAACCAATAGCAAAACAAATGAGCTGACGGAGCGGCGCCAAAATCGCTTCCCAGTCGAAGCCGACCGAATAAAACCTGGACAGCCAACTACTCGCGGCCTCCACGCCCGCAGCCGCGCGCGCCCCGCCGTTGCTCCCAGTTTCTCTCCCAGCTGGCCCAGCTGCAGCCTCACCCACCATGCGTAGAGTAGCGGCGCCAGTGGGTCTCCCTGGTCGACGCCGCTCGTGGCTGTAAGGCGCCTGCAGCGGCCGCGGCCGTCCTCGTTAAAGGCTTAACGACTTCTGCCGTCCTTCGACTCGCGCTGGAGCGGCCGCGAAGTGCTCGAACTTTCCCTGGAGATCTCTGGATTTACCTGGATTTACCCAGATTTATCTAGATTTACCTGGATTGACCTGGATCTACCTCGATTTCTCTACATTTACCTGGGTTTATCTGGCTCGATTCTCACAAGTCGATCGGCGAAAAGTCGACAAGCCCTTGGGGACGTCCCAGTGCAAATGCTGAGCAGTGCGCCGGCAGGGCAGTTCCGCAAAGGCAACGGGGGGGGAGGACGGACGGCCCGCGTCCTCCCACTCGGCGAGGGGCAGGCGGCCTGGTCCGCAGAGCCGGGAGCGTTCTTCGCGCCCAGGGCCCCGGACAGCAATTGGGTGTGAGCGGGACTCGGCCAACGCCCGCGCAGCTAGGGCTCCCAACTTCGCGCTTCGCGCTCCGCGAAGCGCGAATAACTTCGCGCCCTCGCGCCGCCCCCCCAAAGGGAGAATAGGAGGACGAGGAGGAGGGGGAGAAGGAACGAGGACCGCGAAGCGCGAAGCGCGAATAACTTCGCGCCCTCGTGGGAGCCCTTGCGCAGTGTGTGCCAGCATCTCCGTGCCAGCCGCCGTGCCGGTGGCGAAGTGGCACCTGCCCAGGCTCGCCGCGAGGTTCTCCTCTCGCGGCTGCAGCAGCGCGCGCCCCCACCAGCCAGTGCAAGACGTTCGGCGCCGCAGTGGGCCAGACGCCGCCCGCTGGCCTCCGCAGCGGCGTGAACCCGGAAATCGCCAGCGCCGCCGTCGCGATCCCAGGGACGCGGCCGAGCGCGATCCTGTCGCACGCCGGGCCTGCCACGGCCGCACTCCAGTGCTCGTGGGGCCCCCCGCCAGCCGCCACCCCGCTACCCCGCGCCTCATTCCCCCGCGCCCTCAGGGCGTCGTTCTACGCCGGCCAGGCTCTGCGCGACAGAGCGCGCAGCGTTTGTCGGCGGCGAACGGCGGTGGGGAAGTGAACGGGGAAATCCTCTCAGAGTGCGGCGGGGCTTCTCAGAAGTTCTCCGGCCTTCTGAGAAATGTCCTGTCTTCGGGGAAGGCGGAAACAACTTCTCAGAAGGCCAGGGGACTTCCGAGCCTTCTGAGAACCGCAGCCTTCTGAAAAGGCCCGCCCCTTCTCATTTCTCCCCAAGACTCGCCGCCGAGTTTGAGCGCCCCTTGCAAAAAGCTCAGAGAGCGCGCAATCCAGTCACATGACGGTCGAGAACTCCTGGCCCTAGCGACACGCTATGCCCTGCAAGCATGTCGCTCCGCTTCGCGGGGCGGGAGGCCTCGAAAAGCTCGGGCCGCTGAAGCCTGGGGACTGGGAAGTGGATAGCGTGTCGCGCCGAAGCGTGGCGGGAAAGAACCGACGGAGCGCCACGCTATCCAAAGCTCCTGACCGTAAGTGACATGATCACCTCATTGCAGACCACGTGGCGCAGGAGATGCGAGGAGAAACAAGAAGTGTCCAGGCCCCCCTCATGCTCCTTGTCCTCCTCCTCCTCCTCCTCCTCCTCCTCCTCCTCCTCCTCCCTGCTTGCCTCTTCTCGGGGCGGACGGAAGAGGAGGGAAATGTAGTAAAGAGGGGACTGGCGAATCAGCAGCTAGTCGTCCGGACGCCAATAGGCGCCGATTCATGGAGGAAAGGGCCCTGAGCAGATGGGAGCGGAGGATCGCGCCGCATTCCCGATGCATCGCCAGTGCGTCGGTCATTCCTTGGCGACGTCGACGATGCATCGCGACGTGGGGGTGAAGAAATCGGACTCCACATCGCCGATGCTTTCCCCACTTGGAGGACTGGAAGACCTCGAGGGGGCACGCGCTACATCAACAGAAGCATAACGTTTCGGATCTCCGCGCGGACCTCTTGGCTCGGCGCTGGAGCCCCCTCCCTGGCGCGTGGAGCGCGCCAGAGTGAGGGGGCCCTGGGACACACAAATAAATACACACAAATAAAAATATTCCCCATATTTTCCTATATGTTCTGGGTTTTTGTATTCCCCACCACTTCCCACATTTTCCCATATTTTCTGGGGGATCGAGGATTAATTGTGTCTGTGTGTTTCTTGTCCTCCTGACAGAGGGGCGGCGCCGGAGGCGCCGCCGGGGGGGCGTCCGGCGCCGATCTCCGAGAAGCCCGCGCGGACCTCCGCACGGCGATGCTTGCGTGGCCGACTCCGGAAACCCTGCACCCCGAAAAGTTTTCGTCTCTCGGGGGGCGCAGGTATCACTTCCGCCGCCTTCCACCGCACTTCCGCCGGCTCCCGCCGGCGGAGGCTGCCTCATTGGACTTCCGCCACCTTTTCCGCCGCCCTCCCGCGCCAGCCTCGCTTTACTCCCGCCGACCTTCCGCCTCCTGCCGAGGAAGAGACGACAGCTCCTTCGATCCTCGAGGGCAAGGCCCTTCTCGGAAGGCCTCGTGCAGCTGTCGTCCTCCCTTCGTTGGGCGCCCGAGTTATCCAGGGTAACTCGGGTCCGGGGTAACTCGGGTTTGGATTCCCAAAAAACGAACCCGAGTTAGCCCTGACCCGAGTTACCCCTGATGATTCGGGGCTCTGGACGCCCGAGTTATCCGGGGTAACTCGGGTCCGGGGTAACTCGGGTTCGGATTCCCGAACAAAACGAACCCGAGTTATCCCTGACCCGAGTTACCCCTGATGATTCGGGGCTCTGACCTTCGTCTTCGAGCTCCCCCCACCCGCTGACGTGCCCCTTCGTCTTCGGGCTTATACCTCGGCTCTCCGACGGCCGCTCGGGGCGACCTGGGCACCCGCGGGCCGCGCCCGCGGCGAGGCGCCACTGCCAGGACGCACCCCGTGGCAGGACGCACTCCTCCTCCTCCTCCTCCTCCTCCTCCTCCTCCTCCTCCTCCTCCTCCTCACCCCCCTCCCCCTATCCATCCCTCCCCCCCTTTCTCGGCGGCGAGACAGGGGGGGAAAGTAAAGAGGGCGGGCCGTCCCAGAAGGCTCGGAAGTCCCCCCCGGCCTGCTGACAACTGCTCGAAGCCTCCCCCGAAGACACAGAAGACCTCTCAGAAGGCCGCCGCCTTCTGGGAGGACTTTCTCCTGTTTACCTCCCCCTCGCTCGCCACCGACCCCGTTCCTTTCACCGTCCTCCCCGCCGATCCTCCCCGCCACGGTCGAACATAGGACAGAAGAATAGCCATCAAGAACACGAGACCCTCCGCCGGCCCAAACACACAACACGTCCAAGGATACCCTCGCCAGGGTGCACAAGAACATCCAGCAGGCACGAAAAACATTGGGGTAGCGGGGGGTGAGGGGTTCCTTGCGCAATGTTCAGTGCAACCCATCGCAGCCTGGCACGCGACCGCCACTCGGTACTGCGATGCCCTCTGAGGCTGCTGTTCGTGCTCGTGTGCGTTCGCTTGCACTCCGCCTCTCTCTCTCCCTCTCTCTCTGACGTTTCTGACGTTTCTCGCTACACAGCGTCTTGTCGCGCGCCCCGCGGGCGCGGAGCGCGCCGCAGCGGCCCACACGGGCCGTGCGGGCACTCGAACAGCGGCCCCGGGAACCCGACCCCGAGGAGAGCAGGGAGGACCAGGGACCAGAAATAAACCTCCTCTCTCTCTCTCTTCCTCGCCCCGAGCCGACCTCGACCTTACACCTCTGTCCGACCGTTCCCCCTTCACCCGCCCATCCCCCCCTCTCAGAGGGGCCTGCCGCGGCTGCCCCGCTGCCTGCCTGCCCCTCCCCAGGGCAGAGGTCGAGATCCCTTCACGGCGTGGATCCCAAGAGGTTCCCCCTCCTCCTCCTCCTCCTCCTCCTCCTCCTCATCCTTCTCCTACTCCTCCTCCTTCTCCTGCTCCTCCTCCTCCTCCTCCTCCTCATCATCATCATCATCATCAGCATCATCATCCTCTTCCATTTTTTACGTTCGTCGGACTGTGAGCGGGGCTCGCAGCGTCGTGCAACATGACTCTTTGGGGCCAGCAGGGGAACAAGTCCGTAAGGCCATCACGTGCAGCTCACAAGGACGTGGTGCTAACAAAGTGCCGAACAGTGAGGAGATAGACAGAACGAAGTGGACCAAAGAGAGGCTCACAAGGGAGCCTAGCCAAGATGCCCTGACAGAGCTGGCACAAGGAAGGTTACCCCCGCCATCCGTCACCTCCTCGCGCCATGGCCCGAGTGTCCCCACGAACAAGTGTGGCCCTTGCCGACGGCCCACATGTGCGCAGGGCCCATGTTACGATGCCCCGAGCTCGATCTTGGACCAATGCCACGATTCCCGTCGATCTCGCGCCACTGGGGAACAGGATGCTGATGAATCGGCGTGCGAACAGCTGTGCAACGCTCGCAGAAGCAGTCCCTACCCGAGGGCGAGGTAATACAAGATCACGATCGCAACGATAAGGTATAATAAACCTCATCCTCCTGCTCCTCTCGGGCCGCTCCCCCACGCACCTTCGATGGAAGAGCCGATGCAAAGATGCTCTTGGTTGGCTGTGCCCTTTGCCGAGGTGCGGTAACCAAAGTGCAGCGGCTCCCTGATTCGTCTGGGCGGCTCCACTTCAACCGCATCGAATCCGAACCACTCCGCCTGATTGTTATCCACATTAGGCAGAGTGAATTCGTCACGTGATGCGAAGTCTCCTCCCCTCCCTTCCTATCCCCCCTTTCCTCCTCCTCCTCCTCCTCCTCCTCCTCATTCTCCTCCTCCTCCTCCTCCTCCTCCACCTGAGATTCGCATCACGTGACGAATCCCATTTGCCGACGCATCCTGCTCACAATTCACTCCCCAGCGCAATGTCGATGGAAAAGCCGATGCAACGATGCCTTCGGTGGTGTCGTGTGACGAGCGAGGGTAACACCAAGTGCAGCTACACATTGCCTAATGAGTGCGGGCTGCTCAACCTCCACCGCATCATGCCCACACCACTCCGCCCGAAGGTCGGTGCAAGGCCAATTCAGAAATACCCTCCGAGAGTCCAAACACATATGGTTTATAGAAGGCTGCGTTGACAACTTCCCGTCTCGTCTCCTTCTCCTCTGCTACTATCTCCCCTCCCACTCCTTCCGACCCTCCCAACGAGAAGGTGTGGCCTTTGCCTAAGCCCTGTACTGGACAAGGTGGATTTAAGCCTTGCCTAAGGCCTAAGCCTTTGTCTAAGGCCTTTGCCTCGATGTGGATATAGGCAAGGTGGGCACAAATGACCACAGGTGAACCGGTGCAAGCCTGAACACAATTCGCTGATGATAAATGTACCCTCGTCCACCGCAGTCTCTCGCACCTCCGCCCCTTCCGTAGTTGCAACTGGCGAACGTGTGGACAATTGTGTCGTATGGGTCTTCTCTGATGATGATTAGGATGATGAGGATGAGGATGCTGATAGCATGCTCATGGTGATGATATAGAATGGGATGGATATACTTGGATGGTGCATCACGCGATCGACAGGTCATATCGTACCAGTTTCGAAGCGCGGAATGCAACACATATGTCTCAACATGGGCACTGCTTATATTGATGCCATTTCCGCCAGTCAAGCCTTCGTGAGACTGGTTTTCTGCGGGGCCACAATCGCTGCGTGGTCACCATCACCCCCACGTTTGATGGAATCAAGCAAAGACCTTGGTGGTAAAACCCCAATCGAGTATGAGGAATGTCGTCGACGTCATCCCAGAACTTGCTGTATGCATCAAGCAAATCGTGATAAGCGGGCTGCGGGGATACAACCATTCGAATCTGTGGTGCCTCCATTTTTCTTGAGACCAATGTCATTCACTGGTTCTGTTGTACCCGTACCCGCCCAGTCGGAAGAAGCAGCTGGAGACATGACAAAGGAAGGCAGATGAAGTAGGTTGTGCCCCGGCCCGCCCAACTAATAACAACATGAACAACACCAACAACAAAATACTTATGCCGCTCCTTGTAATAGGGAGACGCTTGAAGTAGAGGGGGAACTCGGGATCCAGAAAACCTCGTTTCAACGACTGTCGTACAACTTGAACTTCAGTCTGGTTCTGGGTCGCTTCGGGGCATGTGCCTTCCCATGTGGTTGCCGCAACAGGAAGCTGAGCATTGGAAGCGTAACAGCGCTGGAACCCAAAGTCATTCGATGCCACCGCGGATGAACCAACAAGGTTGACAACTTCTGAACTCACACCGTGTGGCCTCGGAGTCCAGGTTTCAAAACTTCTACCCCGTTGGAGAGAGGTTGCGTACTCGTGTCGGATGGCTTGGCAATCCGAGATTCCAAGCCTCTGTCGCAAAACATCCTGGCAGCCTCGGAGAGCGGAGCGGCGGCGGGATAACGCTGTCTGCCGCGATGGTCCTGAGAAGGCTGGGACCGCTCGGCGGCCGTGAAGTCGGAGAACGTATCGACGATGCCCACATTGCGAGTGAGATTTGCTTCGCCCACCATCGTGAAACTGTGCCAGGCCCTCGTCGCAGCACGCAGAGGTGAGGCCCAGCATGCGTTTGGTAATACGGCTGTCCGCTGACGTGATACTGTGCCAGAACAGCACCAATTTCTGACGGTCGAGAAACCTATTGATGATGCCCTCTTCGAGTTTGTGAATTGAGCTGCGTGTCGCCGTGGATCGAGATCCTCCTTCTCCTTCTACTCCTCCTCCTCCTCCTCCTGTTTCTCCCCGCGTCGCACACATCGCTCGTCGCCTTACTCCATGTGATGCTGGGGAGCCAGATGTTCTGTTTCATACGTAGACCTCAACAAGACCCCGCTTCCCTGACCCCATCCTCCAGGGCCAGATTGCTCTGGGCACGGCCAGAGTATACCCAAGGTTGTACCAGTGCCAATGCTCATTTTGACCTCCCAGCACCTGTAGCCCAAAATACTGAAGCAAGGGCCAAAAGAAACTGCAGATTGCCCCGGACCTTGCGTCGTGACTGTTGACGTAAGGTAAAACGGCATACGTAAACACAACCTTCCGGAGCCCCGCGCGGACTTCTTGGATCGGCGCTGGAACCCACATCTCTGACGCGCGGAGCGAGCCAAGGGCGGCGCCGGAGGCGCCGTCCAGGGGACCCAGCGTCAATCCTAAATATCTGCGCGGGGTTCCGAGAAGTTGTGTTTATGTAATGTTGTTCTCCGATGTCAAGGCGCGAAGGAGTCAAGGAGTCGGGGGCGTCCCAGGGGGGGGCGTCCCAGAGGGGGGGGCACATTCATGGCCCGCGGCATGTGCGCGGCCCACGGGGGGGGGGGGCAGGGACGTAGTGAAATAAGAAGAGGAGCCACGAAATCTGGGGAGATCTCCTGGCCCCCGCCATGTTATCCACCCCCCTACTCTTAAGTCGGGCGTGTCCCCCTACATGCGGATTTGGGACGAAAAATACCTCATGCTCAACAGAATCATAAAAATGGTTACTAAAAAAAATTGTCCACAGACACGTTTTAAACTATGTTGGAAGAGTCCTTCTGTAGAGGGACTGGCCCGACTTAGCCCTGGTTCGGGCGTTGGCAGAACTGGAGTTAGTGGGACCTGGTTTAGCGATGAGTACCGGGGGGGACGCCCCCCCCGCCCAATTCTACTGACCAGAACTGCCGTCGCCCGAAAAAGCACCAGCTACGGCAGGCCTGGCTCAGTGATTCTGGCCAGTTCAGGGGCTCCGGGGCCCTGCCAATAGCCGGGTCCCCTCACCTGGGGACCTTGCTATACCCCACTGCACGTCGTTCATTTCTAATCGTGCTCATTTGTAATTGTGCTCGTTTCCAATGGTTCCTGGCACCCTAGCGGCCAGGAAGAGAGACCCAGGATAGAACAATCAGAAAGGAAAGGATCTTGGCCCCCAGAGATCGAAGAACTCTCGAAGAATCAGACATGCACAGTGTGCAGTCGTCACCCCCCTCCTGGCCGCCCCCCGAACGGAGGCGGGGGCCCGCCAGGCCCCCTTTGCCGACGTCGCCGCGCCGCCCCCCTGCCCAGCCGGAGCCCCGCGTGCCTGCAGCGGGCGAGCCGCGCCCGGCCTCCTCGGCGCCCACCCCGGCGCCGGACGCCTCGGCCCCGCCGCGCTGCTCGGCCGGGGGCGCAGGCTCGTCCTCGAGGCGTGGGCGAGAGGAGGAGGAGGAGGAGGAGGAGGAGGAGGAGGAGGAGGAGGAGGAGGAGGAGGAGGAGGAGGAGGAGGAGGAGGAGGAGGAGGAGGAGGAGGAGGATGCGCGGAGGAGGAGCCGGGCCGCCTCCCGCCGCGGGGGGCCCCTCGCCCCCCCCCCCCGACCGGCCCCCCCGGCCACGGGCCTCCTCAGAGGACCCCGAGGAGCAGCAACTCCTCGCCGTGCACCCAATTCTTGCCGCCCTCGAGGTCCTTGACCTGGGGCGGCTCCAGCGCGAGCAGCAGCCAGCGCACGAAAAAGGCGTCCAGCAGCGCCTCCAGGCACACGATCCCGCCCAGCAGGCGGCGCGGGCGGCGCGCGGCGCGCGTCGCAGCACGGCGCCTCGAGACGAAGCGCTTGGCCTTGATCTGCCGCGCCATCGGGCCGTCTCCAAAGCCACGCGCCGCCACGAGCGCCGCCGCGGGCAGGGAGGGGGCGGTCAGCGCCGCGTCCGCCACTTCGAGCATCAGGTGGCTCGCGCCGGAGGCGCCCAGCGGCCGGCCGCCGCGAGGGGCCAGCGCGGGCGGGAGGGGCGGCTCAACCCCGAGGGGGAGCCGCCGCCATGGCTGCCCTTCCTCAGCCTCCACCGCCCGCCACCCCCGGCGCGGGAGGGCGACGGGCGGCGGGCAGGTCCGTGCGGGCCAGGCGCCGGTGGCGTCGGGCAGGGGGCGGCGGGCCTGCGGCCCCGACCCTGAGCCGAGCCGGCTTGAGCCAAAATGGCTACGGAGGAGGAGGAGGAGGAGGAGGAGGAGGGGGAGGAGGAGGAGGAGGAGGAGGAGGAGGAGGGGGGCGACGTCTGCAGGACGCCCCAGCAGCGGATCGACCACAGTCGCACCGGCGACCGAGACGGATCGGCTCGGCGGAGGTCGGCGCCCGAGTCGGGAAGAGTCGCATCGGCGGAGACCGAGAGGCCAGTACACCCTGCGAAATGCTTAAGAAATCATGGGTTAAGAAATTCATAGTCTCAGAACTTGAAGAAAAACCCAACATTTCCATTCAAATCTTAGGATTTCCATTGAAAAATTAAGAATAATCGAGACTCTGGCCGAAAACTTAAGTTTTCTTAAGCATCGCCTAAGGTGTATGCCTCCAATGGGGGACATCGGAGGCCAGAGCGGAATCCCAAATCGAATCGGGTCGGAATCGGAAGCCATCGGAATCGAATCGCCTCGCACCGGAGGGATCGAGACGAGCCCCGCGTCTGTGCCCACGCTCACACCACGAAGCTGGAAGCATCTGGAGGTCAGATGCGTGTGCGGAGAACGTGGAGGCCGCAAGCTGCATGCACGCGCGGGCGGGCCGGCGCACCCAGCCACACGAGTGTCGAGCGCTAGAACGACATGCGGCCACGCCTGTCCAGCTCTCGCCTGTGCGGGCCAGGTCGTGTGCATCCAGCTCTACGGGGCAAGGAGCTCACAGGCTCGCACAAGCGATTCCGCATGCTGCCGCACAAACGTCGCGTGGCGCCCGAGGCAACTTGCGCTCGCCATGGCACGATCCTGGCCCCTTCCCAAGGGGCGGGCTTTTCATCCTGAGTAGGTACCAGCGGCTGGAAGTGCACCACAAGGCTTGCAGAGGCTTCAGATCCGGCCGTGGCGGCTCTTTCGCGCCGCCCAAACCTGAGGGCGTGCTCACGAAGGCGGCGGTGAATACCCTCGATGACGCCATTGTGAATTTTTGTTGGGTGCAAGGGCGTAGGCTGGAAGAGTTGGACTGGGGGAACAAAGAATACCGACACCGCTACTGTGAGGGCATTGGATAAGGAACCCTAAGATGAGGAGTCCAGAGTCTGAAAAAGGTGGACCACCAATCGAGGTTTGACCATCGATACCACAGACGTCCTCACATGAAAACGAACCCTCCAGGGTCTGAAGCCTCCTGGACACTCCTTAACCAACGCCCCCACCGTACAGCCATCAATCTACCGTAAGCAGCGCTGAGCGAGGAGGAGAAGGGCGATTCTTTTGTAGCAGCGACGAGCCTTGGCCACGAACGCGTCCCCCCCCCGACCAGGCACCCAAGGAACGGCCCGAAAACCAGAGGCCCTCCTGAACCCAATGTGGTGCTTATTTAAACGTCACGCAATGCACGTTCCTATATGATACCGAAGAAAAGCCCCAATCAGAGTCTTTTTAGGGCTATCGGCTATAGGGCTATTGGGGAGGGCGCGCTGCTGGATCTCCCCAGGGGGGGGGGGACCCCCCCCGCACCCCTTTCCCCGGTCCGTCGTCGGAGAACCCTCCCCCCCCCCTTTCCTGGTCCGTCGTCGGGACCCCCCCCCCTTTTTCCCGGTCCGTCGTCGGGGAAGCCCCCCCCCTCCCCCCTTCAAAAGGTGAGGGGGGCCTCCGAACAACCCCGCCCCCCCCCCATGGGCTCGAAAATCCCCCCCCATCCCCCTTTCGCCACGCCGCCCCCTGACTCCAGAACCCGCCCCCCCCCTACCACCCCTAACCCTAATCCTCACCCTGACCCCAGACCCTAAGCCCAACTCCTAACCCTAGCCCCAAACAGCACTCGATACTCATCACTCACTACCCACTACCAAACTGACTGCTTCCCACTCACTATTCCCTTGCCACTATTCACTACTCACTACTCTATAGTCAATGCTCACTACGCACCACGCACGACTCACTGCACACCACTCACGGCCCACAAAACACTTTCCACTACTCACTACTCCCGATCCACTACTCTCATTTGTTACTCGCTACTCCTTACACAGTACTCACTACTCACTACTCGCTACTCCCTAACCTGTACTCGCTACTCCCTCCTCACTACTCGCCACCCACTACTCACTACTCACTACTCACTACTCCCAAACCCCTCCTCACGACACACGAATCACCATTCACTACTCACTACTCACTACTCGCTACCCCCTACTCGCTACTGATTACTGAATACTCCCTACTCACCACCCACTACTCACGATTCCCTACTCTCCGATCGCTACTCAAAACTCAAACCCCCCTACTCACACACTACTCACTACTCACCACTCACCACTCACTACTCACTACTCACTAGTCACTACTCACTACCCACTAATCGCTAGCCCCTTCTCACATCTCATTACACACAACTTACTACACACTACTCACTACTAACTACTCACTACTCACTGCTCGCTACTCCCTTCTCGCTAATCACTACCACTCACCTTCCACTACCCACGACCCGATTCTGACTATTTGCTAATCTCTAAATAACTACTAGCTACTCACCTCTCACTACACACTACCCACTGCTCACTACTCCTTCTCCACTACTGACTACTCACTATTCAGTAGTCACTACTCACCACTCACTACTCACAATTCGCTACTCGCTACTCTCTACTCGCTACTCACTATTCACTACTCACTTCTCACTAGTCACTACGCACTACTCTCTATTCACCACTCACTACTCACTACGCACTGCACACTAATCGCACTCATTACTCACTACTTACCACCGGCTACTCACTATCCACTACTCACTACTCACTACTCCCTACCCCCCACTCCCTACTCAATACTTACTACTCACTACTCACTACTCACTACTCACTACTCGCTACTCACTACTCACTACTCACTACTCACTACTAACTCACTACTCACAACTCACTACTCGCCACTCTCTACTCACTACTCACTACTCACTTTTCCCTACTCTATACTCCCAACCGGGAGAGGCCTTCTCCCCGGCTCTCTGTCCGGCGCTAAGGGGCGGAGGGGAGGGGGGGGTCGCACCCCCCCCCTTTCCAGCGCCAGTGGGGGAGGGTGGGGGGGGATCGAAAATCTCACCCCCCCTTTGAAGGGGGGAGGCGTTCGGACCCCCCCCCCTCTTCAATTTTTCCAATTACAGGGTGATCCAGTGGCGCGCTTTCGCTAGGGGGCTATAGGGCTATAGGTCTATTGAGCTATAGGTCTATATGGCTCTAGGGCTATAGGGCTGTAGGGCTGTAGGGCCATAGGGCTGTAGGGCTATAGGGATATTGGGCTATGGGGCTCTGGGGCTCTGGGGCTATAGGGCTATAGGGCCATAGGGCTGTAGGTCTATAGGGCTAGGGGGCTATAGGGCTGTAGGACCATAGGGCTATAGAGCTATAAAGCTATATGGCTATTGGGCGACAGGCATATACAGCTATAGGTTTATAGGGCTATAGGATTATAGGGCCATAGGGCTATAGGGCGATTGGGCCAAAGGGCTATTGGGCTATAAGACGATGGGGCTATGAGACTATGGGGCGATGGGGCTCTAAGACTATGGTACTGTAGGTTTGTGGGGCTATAGGGCTAGGGGGCTATAGGGCTGTAGGGCTATAGGGCTATAGGTTTATAGGGCTGTAGGGCCATAGGGCCATAGGGCTGTAGGGCTATAGGGCTATGGGGCTATAGGGCTACGGAGCTACAGGGCTATAGGGCCATAGGGCTATAGGGCAATAGGGCTATACGGCTATAGGGCTATAGGGCTATAGGGCTAATGGGCTATCGGGCTATGGGGCTATGGGGCTGTGGGGCTATAGGGCTATAGGGCTATATAGAGGTATAGGGATAGGGCTATAGGGCTATTGGGCTACCGGGCACCCGGGCACCCGGGCATGCGGGCACCCGGGCGGGCCGCCGAAATCGGCGACGCAGCTCCCCTGGCACCCGGGTACCCAGGCACCTGGTCGTGCCGCCGAAATCGGCGACGCAACTAACCTAACCATATGAATCCGCTAGGACCCCTGCAGAGGCAAGCTCTGATTGGGGAACTACCAGGGTACGTTCTGACCGGGGCTCCGAGGCGAATCCAGCCGCGGCGACGAATAACCCCCTACGGATGCGCCAAAATGTCGAAGACGAAGGGCATCCTGTCCTCCTTCGAGGGTGGCAGCGTTCTGCACAAATGTGCGCCCCTTGTACTAACCAAGTTCCTCCTGGCCTGGCGAGAACCAGCCAGTCCCTCGCGTTATTCCGAGGGCGGGTGGTAAAGGGGGGTGACCTGGATGGGAAGTGACGAAAAGGACCCTGCAGTGGCCCTTGAAGGCGACTTTTGGTTCCCTGCTGGCAGCACCGCCCGCCCCGAATCATGACTCTGACATTGACCCTGGTCTCGCGCCGTGTGCAACGCGGACGGACTGCGCACTGCCATTGGTGAGTCACTAGTTTGTTGCGCGCGCGTCATTGCCCCTGCGCGCGTGCCAGCGGCGCTCGCCTGGCTCGTCTCGCGTCGCTGGCGCGCGCGGGGGATGACGCGCGCGCCAATCCCGCCGTGCATCACGTACGCGCGCGCGAAGGCGTCAGCGCGCGCGGGGAATCCGAGCGCGGGTGCGGGCCTTCCGGGCGCGCGGAACTCGTGACGACAAATCGCCAGACCGATCCGCCTTACAAATTTGCCCCGTGGTCAACATTCCCTACGGATTTACACTGGGGGCTCAACGCTAATCGCGTGTGAGACGCGTTACGGGCGCCGCGGCTTCATTCATTCTAGGCCTCCCTGGCCGCATCGCCGATGCATCGCCGATGCGGCTCGATGCGGAACCCGATTTTCTCCACGCCGACGGCGCCGATGCACCGCCGACGTCGGTGACGCATCGCCGATGTGTCGGCGGTGCGGCGCGACCCTCCGACCCCATCCACTCCGACCCCATCTAGGAGGCCTCTATGCACACAAACCAAATGGATGTGATCGAAGGATTGCAAAAAAAACTTTTTTGCAAAGGGTTTTTGTTTTGCAATCCTTTTTTTGCAATCCTTCGAAGGGTTTTTTTTGAAATCCTGTTTTTTTTGCAATCCTTTTTTTTGCAATCCTTCGAAGGTTTTTTTGCAATCCTTTTTTTTGCAATCCTTCGAAGGGTTTTTTTTTGCAATCCTGTTTTTTTTGCAATCCTTTTTTGCAACTTCTGTCGGCCGCGGTCCTGTGATCCCATGGCAGGTGGAGGATTGCAAAAAAACCTAGTTTTTGTTGTTTTTGTTTTGTTTGCAATCCTTCGTTTATTTTTTGTTTGTTTTTTGTTTTGCAATCCTTCGTTTTTTTTCGTTTTTTTTGCAGGCTCGCTTTCCCTCGGGCGCGGGTGCTGTCCAAGAGTCGGGGCGGGCGGCTCTCCGTGCCTCCCGACAGCGCCGCGGCGCCAGAGGCCGGCCCCGGGGGGAGGGGGTCGACCAACACACAACTGAAGAGGCCCTGGGACACACACAGACACACAAATAACAGGATTCCCCATGTTTTCCCATCTCTTCTGGGTTTGTGTCCTCCCGCCCAACTCCCACATCTTCCTCTACTTTTTCCTGGGAATCGGCGATTCCTTGTGTCTCTGTGTATTTTTTCCCCTCCTGAACACCACCGAATGCCTGGAGGGGGCGAGACGGGCCTCGGCTCGCTCGGGGCCCCCCGGCGCCAGTGGCAGGCAGCCCACGGGCCAGAACCCGTAGGCGGAGCAGAGGAGCAAGCAGGGGGACGCGGGGGGAAGAGGAATCCGGGGGTGCCCGAGATGGCCCTGGCTCACGTCGGGCCGGGCGAAAGGGGGGGATAGCAAAGCGGGGGGGGGGTGAGAAGCAGCTGACGTAGCTGATTTTCCCAGCGCCTCCCGGCGCGGGAAGGCGCCCATGTATCGAGTGACGGGCCAGGCGGCGGGGTCGAAACCAGCTGCATGCAGCAAATTTCGTACCCCCCCCTTTCCCTATATCCCCCCCTTCTGTTCGGCCCGATCATGGTGACCTCGGTTGTTTGGAGTCCCGAAACGGTGCGGTGACGGCCCGTGCGGTGACCTCGGAACCCCAAAAGACCTCACCGCACGGTCCGTCACCGCACGGTCTTGGGACCCTGGAGGCCCTTGTCGCCCGAGACGTCCTCGGAGAACGACCCGAGTCACAAAACCGTGCGGTGACCCCGAATCCCCCCCGACTCACCGCACGGTGTGGTCGCCACCCCGTTTGGGGACCCCCGAGGTTTTTCCAAAACGGCCCAGATGGCCGGCAAAGAGGCACGCCGCGCTGGGCCCAGGAGGGCCTCAGGAGTGCCAACATGGCCGGACGGCTAATACCACCTGCAGCCATCGTGCCACCACTGGGAGCGCTGCATCAGGAACGAAGGGGCTTCTCTGGCCGCGGCAAGCCTCGGTCACGAGTCGACTCCCCGGCCCAGATCCAGGGAGCGGCGCGGAATCCAGAGCCCCTCCTGAGCCCGCAGCGGTTCTGGTCTCGGTGCGTTGATTTTTGGGGGCCAGGATCGGCGGGACTTGCCACCCGTGGCGGACTCCCGAAGCCCTGAACCCCAGAGGAAATGTCACCTCCTGGAAAGCAAATCCATACTTCCGCCTGCTTCCGCCGGCCTTCCGCAGACTTCTGCCGGCGGAGCCGCCCTTCCGTCCTGCTTCCGCCGGCTTCCGCCGCCCTTCATGGTCACCTCCCGCCGAGGAAGAATTGCCAACTTCTCTGGGGAAACCACAAAAAAGTACCGATGCGGCTACTTCCCGACCTCTCCCGGGGTGCGTTCTGCCCAGAATCTCGAGGCGAGTCCAGCGGTAGCAACGAGGGCCTCCCAGGAGGCCTCCAGAGGGGAGAACGAATGAGGGGTAGCGGTATAGGTACCTTGGTCGGCCAATTTTCCACCACAATTACCATAGGTAGGAGGAGGATGCGGAGGTCCTCCTCCTCCTCCTCCTCCTCCTCCTCCTCCTCCTCCTACCTATGGCAAGGGGGGTGGAACATCGGCCCATCATGATTACTGCTTCCTCCTTAGAAATCTCTCGATCACTCGAAGCCGAGGCCCTTTCTGGAATGTCGCACCTGGGCCATCGTCGGCGCGCCGTGGCGCCGTGGCGCGCCTCGGCGCCCCGAGGGCCCCGCTTACTCTCACCCCGCCGGCGGCCGCCGTGCGCCCCCCCCCCGCCCCTCCCCAGCGAGAGCGCGGGGCGCCCGCCTCGCCCTCGGAGGTGGGCGCCGCCGTCGGCGGCGGCGTGGGTGCCGAGTGCGGCCCCGCCTGGGCGGGGGCAGCACGCGACCATGGCCGCATCCAGAGGGGGAGGAGGAGAGGAAGAGGAGGAGGAGGAGGAGGAGGAGGAGGAGAAGGAGGAGGAGGGGAAGAGGAGGAGGAGGAGAGGAAGAGGAGGAGGAGGAGGGGGAGGAGGAGGGGGAGGAGCAGTGGGAAGTCGAGGATCACAACTAAAGAAGTGGGGGCGGCGGCGGCGCCTGCGGCGCGCGAGGGCCGCGCTCAGCGGAGGCCCGTTGGCACAACGTGCCTGCCCCATCCCGGGCGGGAGCAGCAAGCGACCACAGCCACATCTAAAGGGACAGCAACAACGGCATAAACACAAACGCTTGGCGTTTCGCGCGGATGTCTTGGATCAGCGCGGAGCCCCCCTCCCTGGCGCGCGGAGCGCGCCAGGGGCGGCGCTGGAGGCGCCGCCAGGGGGTCCCAGCGCCGACCCAAGAAATCAGCGGGGAGCTCCGAAAGTGTATGTTTATGCCATTCTTGCTCCTCGGACATCGAGGACACGCTCTGGGGGATCTCTCGCGCATGCCAGAAACTGTCGGAGCAACGAAACCAGCGTCATCACTGGCTGCGGTCGGTCTGGCGTCCCAGGACGGCCGCTCGTGTCGAGGCTGGAGGGTTCTCCCCCAAATGGGCCCTCCCGAAAAATCCACTTAGTTGTGATTGTGGTTCTACGTTGTGCAACTGGGCAGAGCGTCGACGGCGCGAAGATCGGTAAGATCGAAATGGGCACGGACAGAATGGTAACGACGACCGACGGCAAATCCTGTCCTCCTCGCACAGAAACCGCTGCTGGTGCCGCAGACAAAGCACTGCCTCCCCAACAGCGGCCACTGTCGGAATTGGACAACTCTTGCTGTTGGGCATTTGAAGGGGCCCCAGGACACACAAATAAATACACACAAGTAAAAGTATTCCCCATATTTTTCCATATTTTCTGGGTTTCTGTCTTCCCCCCCACTTCCCATATTTTCCTATATTTCTGGGGAATCGAGGATTAATTGTGTCTGTGTGTTTCTTTTCCTCCTGGGCATTGTATAGCAGACGAAACACGGCATAAACGTAAACGGTCGACGGTCCGCGCCGGATTTCTGGGATCTGCGCTGGACCCCTGCGCGCCGGGGGCGGCGCCGGAGGCGCTGTCCAGGTGCCCCTAACGCAGAACCGAGAGAGGCGGACGGAGCTCCAGCAGTCCATGTCTCTGCCGCTTTTTTTTGTTCGTTGGTGCTTTGCCCTCTCTCTGTGGCTTGACGTGGGGCCCCTCCTTCTGCCTTCCTTCCTCTGTTCATTGGGCGAAAAATCAAAAATAGTCAAAACAGATTCTAAAATAGCCACACAATAATCAACAAATCTTCCCCTGCAATTGTTTGGACTTAAAGCTGTGCGCGGCCCGCTTAGCTCCGACCGGAAGAGGCTCGCGCGCGACCCGCGGATCAAAAGCATAACTGTTTTCCGCATCCCCTTCGGGCGTGCGGAGCGAGGTCGGGGACCCGGCGACTTGGGTCAATGCCAAACCGGGGCCAGTTAGGGCCTGGCAGGATCCTGCAGGATCCTGCGCCCGAGCGCGGGTCAGTGCACCCCTGGCTCTGCGGGATCCTGCAGGATCCCGCGCCCTGGCTGACCCCCGTTGGCACTCACCCCCCGCCTCTCGAGTCCCGCAGGAGGTCCATGGTGGCGGACGCCGTGACACAGTGGACACCCTCACACACTGTGATCATCGAATCAGACATGTGCTGAAAGCGTCGGAAACTGCCCAAACCTAGGTTTAGCATGTTGAAGACATGCCCATAGAGGCCTCCTAGATGGGGTCCGAGTAGATGGGGTCGGAGGGTCGCGCCGCACCGCCGATACATCGGCGATGCATCGTCGATGCATCGGCGATGCATCGGCGATGCAACGGCGACGCATCGGCGACGTCGGCGATGCATCGGCGACGTCGGCGTGAAGGAAATCGGGCTCCGCATCGAGCCGCATTGCCGATTCATCGGCGATGCGGCGCGATCCTGCGACCCAATCTACTCCGACCCCATCTAGGAGGCCTGGAGCCCAAGACATGTCCAGACATCTGGGCATCCCTTGGCAGCCTGCCTCTCCTCTCCGCTGACCGCCGTCCACACGCCTCTGTGGGGTCCGACGCTGGGGGCCGGCGGTCGGCGGGGCGGCTCCTGCCTGCCCCCGCAGGGAGGGGACGCCCCGGTGGCCCGGGGCCCCGGTGGCCTTCCCGGGCGCTCGATGCCGAGTCCTCCTCCTGCTCCTCCTCCTCCTCCTCCTGCTCCTCCTCCTCCTCCTCCTCCCCCTCCCCCTCCCCCTCCCTCCTCCCCCTCCCTCGTCCTCCTCCCTCGTCCCCCTCCTCCTCGTCCTCCCTTCGCCCCCCTCCTCTTGCAGACCTGGATGCTCGTCTGCGGCCCCCCCCATGGGCCGCGTGGGGCGGTCCCGCCGTGGGCGGGCGGAGGAAGCCGACGGGAGAGGGGGGGGGGCAGATCTCCACGGCCGTCGTGCGGCCTCGTGTGGGCGCGAAGGGAGGGGGGTGGGGGAGCGATAAGTGGAGGGGGGAGAAGGGCGCCCCCTCCTGGGCCCTGAAGGGCCCCCTTCGGGGCCCTCTAGGGCCTCTCTTCGGCAGCCCTCCCCCCCCCCCGTTTATCGCCCCCCCATTGCGCGTCATCCGAGTGGTTGTCGAGAACGGTCCAGCGGCGCCCGAGTCGTCCTGACGCAGTACAGCGCGCCCGTATAACAAGGACGCTCGACGAGGATGCAAGGGCCTTGGAAGGCCGTGTCGACACTCTGCGGGCGGAGCGCGGCCAAGGCCAATGGTGGAACGAGGAGGCAAGGATGCAGAGGTACCCCTCGGGAAGGCTGCCCATCCTTACTATACGGGTCGACTGTACAATCCAACTCTCGAGCAAGAGCAGAGCAGCCATTGAAAAGGTCATCGGAGCGTGGATGGTTCTGGGGGGCATCGATGATATGTGCCAAGTGTTCTCGGGCATGCCATGGGGCTATAAACGACTTTCTCCTTACCCGTAGCCGAATCCAACAGATTACAGAGAACCGATGAGTCGTTGCATCTCTGCTGGGATCCACGACCATGAGTAGACCCGATTGGGCAAGAAGCATACCTACAACTAGCACTAGCAACACAATCAATGTACGACGAAGGACAGACAGGCAGTGCGTGAGAGAACAGCAGCCTCTCTGAGAAAAGCAGGGGGGCATACTTACAGGGAAATGCACCCATCGAGGGACGTCCATGGGATCAGGGGAGCAACCAAGTGGCAGTGTAGTGTCATTCAAGACCAGCTGTGCTGATGACACGCCGAATCATACAGCCCCTCCTACTGCAACTAATGCCACCAGCTAGCTCTTTGGGCTAAGGTGTTCTGGCGAGTTGTTTCTTTTGTCTTCCAGAACCCTCTTCCCTTCGGGGAGGGGTTGCCTCACCCTCCCCTTCCTGAGGTTTTTGGTGCGGGCCACGACGTGTTAGGGGGTCCTTATTCGCCCAACATTGCCCTTCGATGGCCTCCGATGCTCCAAGATGGCCTCCAACATGGCTCAACATAGCCGACGATGATTCAACGTCGCTTCCGATGCACCTCCAAAAGGCCCGTCGAAGGCCACAAGGCGGTTCCGGGTGCTCGCGGGCCCCCCCTCTCAGGACCCCGCGAGCTGCCAGAGCCGTTCTCTACACAAGCCCAAAACAGAAAACATGTGTGACGTCTCGCCGTTTCGCTCCCCGGCGCGAGGTGGCCCCGAAGTGGCCCAAAGGAGGCCCAAGATGGGGACCACGGGGCTCCCCAGGCGGCCCCAGGAGCGCCTGTGGGCGGCCCAAGAGCGCCCCAAGAGGGCCCCACGAGGTGATGTTGATGGCCCCAGGGGGACACGGCAAATCGAGGACCACCCCCCGTCTCAGCGATGGCTCCCAGGATGCCCCTCCAGGGCTACCTAAGAGGCGCCCAAGAGGGCCCCAAGAGGGCCCAAAGATTGCCCCAAGGCCCCCAAACAGCCCCAAAATGACCCCAAGATCCCCCAAAAAAGGCCCAGGAGGGCTCCAAGAAGCGATTCTGAGGGATCTGTCCTCGTCCTCGTTGTCCTCGTCCTCCTCCTCCTCCGCCTTCTCCTCCTCGTCCTTGCCCTCGTCGTCTTCCAATTCCTGTTCCTCCTCTTCCTCGTCATTGTGGTTGTCGTCGTCGTCTTCCTCCTCTTCCTTCCCTCGCCCCCGCGCGGGACCCAAGGATGGCCCGAAACAGCCCTCCAAATGCACCCCCTTGCTCCCAAAGATCTCTTGATTCACCCTGGTTGCCCACTTTGTTTCACTACATGTGTCTCTTCGCCCCCTCTCCCGTCAACGCTCATGGGTACGGCTTCTGGAAAGGAGGAAGGGGATTGTTTGGGGGGTCGGCGGCTCCGAGGCAGCGGACACGGATCGGAAGGCGTCGTTTGGGCCACCAGGCGAGGCTAATTAGCTACAACAAGCAACGCACCCGCAGTGATAAATCGCAAAGAATGCGAGGTGTGAACCAGCACTGAGCAAAATGCTCCGCATTAAGGCGAACGGACCTAGGCGCCAGCCACACCGAAGTGAAGCAGACCGCAGTGCGGTGCAACGGAGAAGTCGCCCTGTCGGCGCCAAGCTCCGAGCAGCCCACCTGGCCGAAGCGGGCAGGTAGAACCGAAGCGACACGCTGAAGGCTGAACCACTCAGCGCGAAGTCCGTACCACCGCCTTACGCGGGGTCGGCTAAGACAGGGGCAAAGGAAAGGCAGGGACCTACAGAGCTCTCACTCCACGATCCACACCGCTGCCCGTGGTGGGGCCGGTGTGTCAGCCATCGTTTCCGTAACCAGTCACAGGCCAGGATGCAACGATGAAAGAGGACACGCAGGCCCAAGCGCCAGTACTGCCGCCAAGCGGGTAACGGCCGAAGGTCGCCGAGGTGCGCTGCAGCCGCGGCCAGCTCATAGGCGCTGGGGTGTAGTCAGGGCTGAATCTGG